GTTCCCCAGTGTTCTGTCCTGGTCCACTTCCGAAGAGCTCAGGGATGACCTCAAGTACTGAAAGGAACAGAAACCCCAAACAGAACACCTTGGACGTCATCACTACTCCCTTTTCACACCCCATGGCACATGTAACCACACTCCTGGCCAAATTCTCTCCTCTCAGCAGAATCGATATGAAGCCAGTTCCCTTCTCTCACCACCCTTTGCTGCCTATACCAGGACCTTAGCATTCCTCGTCTGTAATGTACAGGTCCCATTTCCATTCTTACCCTTTCAATTTATCTTTCTCATTGCTTCAGAGTGATTGCCCTAATACATAAATAGGATTTTGTTCCTCCCTTGCTTATAGTATGCCAGTGGCTCCCTGCAACCCACAGGATAAATTCCAAGTCTCTTCAGCTGGGCCACAAGACACTTCCTGACTTGCCTTAGCCTGTTAGTTTGGCTTCCTCCATAAACAGCTGGCCATCTCAGGTCTCATATCCCTGTCTCAGTGAATCCATTCTGCACTGTCTACAATGGGACCCTTGAACTTATGTGTCCCTCCATCTGTGCCACCTTTCCACCCCCTCCATCTGAATGCCTCTTGCCAGGCCTCCAGACCTCAGCTCAGAGCAGGCCGCTATGACCCTGGTGAACCAGGATGAGCCCTCATACCAACAGCATGTGTCCAGTGCTCTTAAAGTGTTCACCAACCTGCTTGTCTGGCTCCCCAGAGGCTGAGCCTCCCATGTGCACCTCTGTGTTTATTCACCACTCTTTAGTCTCTATAGCCCTGAGCCAAATGCAAGGTTGAAAAGTGTCCCCCAAGATTTATAAACATTCAGAACCTCAGAATGTGACCTTATTTGATTACAAGGCTTTGCAGGCTCGTTAAAATCATATAGGATTAGGCCAATATGGCCCTAAATACAATAAAACAGATATTCTTAGAAGAGGGTAGGGAGAAGCCGATGTGATGGTAGAGAGAGAGATTAGAATGATACAGCCACAAGCCCAAGATGGTTAGGGTTGATTGCATCTACCAGAAGTTGGAAGAGAGGCAAGGAAAGATCTTTCTCCCAGACCCCTGAGAGTGAGCAAGACCCTCCAGACACCTGGATTTCAGATTGTAACAGTATAGCTCTGTGACAGTATAGATCTCTTTTTTTAAGCCACCATGTTTGTCATATTTTATGATGACAGTCCTAAGAAATGAACAAAATACCAACACATTCGGTTGGTTCCATACATCATTTAACCCCATACCCCGCTCCCTATTGCCATTGAGGAAGACTTCTGTCAATTCTAGGCTAGAATGTTCTAGCAGCTTTCTGGTTGGTTTCCCTGTGTTTGCTAAATGGAATGGTGCCATGGGCTTAGGACTCCAGCAGCTCCTGTGTTTGTCAGACTGATTACTGGGGAATTTTTTTTTTCTCATGACCTCACGACAAGGTTAGCTGAATCCTGGTGCTCAAAAATGTCACCTCTGCCCTGAACAAAGCTTTCATGCAAGGCTCTGCTGGAGCACCTAAAAGGACAATGATTCAGGATGTCATTGAGCTCACAGAGAAGCCACATGCCTGTTTTTGCACCTGCTTAGCTAATAAATGAGAGTCTGTGTGGCAGAATTCTCTCTGACACTTACTTTCATTATCACATACAGAGATGTTCGGCCCAAAGACCTCGTACATCTACGTAGTGAATGACAAAATTGACTCAGGTCAGTTCTAGCCAAGAAGGTCATGGAAAGAACTCCAGTTTCAAAACAAGACAAATCCAGGCTAAAATCCCAGCTCCAATGCTGACTGCCTGAATCACCTATGATGTCGCTTTGCAGGGTGGTAACGAGGATCCGTGCCGCCTCACCAGGTTGTTGCTATAATTAAGTGAGATCAAGCATGCGAAAGGCTTCAGGGGTTGCGAATGTTGGCTGTTATTCAGTAACTTGCACACAGTCACACGGCCAAGCGTGAGCTGCTGTCTGGGGTCTCACCCCTGGGGACCAGACTTTCCCCTGGAACAGAGGCAGTGGCATCTAATGAGGGAGTTGAACATTAATTAGGAAACTGGGACACACGACTTTATGCACTTTCACATCCGTTTTCTATCTTTGTCCTCATGAAGGCCTTTTATTTAACAAATTCCTGTCCCCTTAAAAATGCAGGTTAGTTTTGGAAATGAGGCTCAAAGGTAGTGCAGTGCTCCCTGTAGCACTTGAGAGCAGTTGTTCCCTGCAGAACTTTGAACAGTCCCCACGCCTGGCCAGCTCCCAGACCCATGGAGCCAGAAGGCCTGGTGCCAGGGCCAGGCTACAGAACTCTCATAAACACCTAAGCGACTCCCAAACACAGCCCAATTCGACTATCAGTGCTCTAGAATTTGTGCATCACTTCCCTCCAATTTGCTTTTTACTCCTTTATGGGAATGGTGGAGTAGACTTCCTTGTCCCCACTCTGAAGATGAGAAGACCAAGACTCAGAGAAAATTCTAGAAAGGATTTCAAAAAGAACTAGATTTCTCTTTTTTCCCCCAAAGATTTATTTATTAATTTGATTTTTTTAAAAGATTTTATTTATTTATTTGAGAGGTAGAGTTACAGACAGTGAGAGGGAGAGACAGAGAGAAAGGTCTTCCTTCTGTTGGTTCACTGCCCAAATGGCTGCAACAGCTAGAGCTACAGTGATCTGAAACCAGGAGCCAGGTGCTTCTTCCTGGTCTCCCATGTGGGTTCAGGGGCCCAAGGACTTGGGCAATCTTCTACTGTTTTCCCAGGCCATAGCAGAGAGCTGGATTGGAAGTGGAGCAGCCAGGACTAGAACCGGTGCCCATATGTGATGCTGGTGCCACAGGCAGAAGATTAACCTACTACACCACGATGTCGGCCCTTACACCACGATGTCGGCCCTTATTTATTTATTTGAAAGGAAGAGTTACAGAAAGAGAGAGAGAGAGAAAAAGATCTGTCTTCCATCTGCTGGTTCACTCTCCAAATGGCCCTAACGGCCAGGACTGGGTCAGGCCAAAACCAAGAACAAGGAGCTTCTTCCAGGTCTCCCACGTGGGTGCAGGACTTGGGCCATGCTCCACTGCTTTCCCAGGCACATTAGCAGAGAACTGGATTGGAAGTAGAGCAGCCAGGACTCCAACTGGCGCCCACATGGGATGCTGGCAGCACAGGCAGCGGCTTTACCTGCTGCACCACAGTGCTAGCCCTGAGAACTAGATTTCTTGATTCTGTGCCTGTCGTAGAGGACAGGGGACTGTGTCACATCACTGCCCTCCAAGTTTCGCTCTCAGTCCGTATCCGGCCCTGATGGGAGGCTGATTTGGGCCCATGGGAACTAGCCACAGAGGGGATCTGACAACTCCAGCCCCAGCACCGCCATCTGGTCTCCCTGCCCTCCTCTGCAGTTCCTGGGTTCCCTGCATCCCAGAGCATAGGCCGGGGAGTTTTCCGTGGGGGCCTGTCAGCCCCAGGTCTTTCCTGCCTTTGTTTTTCTGTCTGCTTCATCATGCATGGGGTGGATGGTTTGGGTCTATGTCTGCCAAAATGCTGTGGAAGCTCTGGGACGGAGGGAACAGCAGGAGCCCTGAGTGTTTATACCATGGGAAAAGCTGGCCTTCTCAACACACCACCCCTCTCTCTGCCCCCGGGTTCTCATGCCCTCCCCCAGTTCCCAGGAGGCCACTCGCCAATTAAGACGCTGTCCTGGAGAGCAGAAGGCTCTGACAGCCCCGCAAATCAGCCGCTGGGGTCCCCACCCCCAGCACACATGCACTCCAGTCCGTCGCAGAACAATGCGATCAAGTCATCCTGAGCCAGGGCACCAGAAACCCCCAGCACGATGAGAGAAAGCAGAGGTCTCTCCTGGCCACTGGTGCAATGCCAACCGCAGGCCCTTCTGGGGGCAGGAAGAGGGCATTCTGTTGCTGTGTTCTGCACAAAAGCTGCCCTCTTCCTCGGGGCGCTGGGGAGACCCACAAGCAAGCTGGGGTTGTTTCCCCACCATCACCATAGTCATAGCAACAGCTCTGATGAATGCGCTGGCCCATTAGAGGGATAATGTCAACCCTAATCAGAAACGCCTCAAGTAGCTCTCTTTGCATTTTGGTAAATGGCGTAATCACATTACGGTGCCATGTGTCTGGGAGCTGATTGCTGTCGCGCAAGTCTGCCTGATTTTCCAGGTTAAGGGGTGTCAGGGGGCCCGAGACGCAGCTAATCACTGTGCATTGTTAGAGGAGGGTTTGGAGAGAAGACAGAGGGCACCGAGACTGCCAGGGATGTTCGTGCCCTACCCTACCCTTCCCTCCGGGTTGGCGTAAATGCCCCGGGCTGCTGGTCTGTGGGTCAGGGATTCCTCCCTGTAGGAGGTGGGCGCCCCAGAGAGGTGCATTTGCCATTGTGAGTAAGCAGCAGAGAGGCAGAGACATGGCTGGGAGGAACTGGCCGGCAGCTTGTCCTGCCCCTTGTCCATCAAGCTGGTGATGGACAGTCAGCCCCGGGCTATGTCCCCAGGCTGGAAAACTGGCAGGGGAGCCCCAGACCAGGCCTGGAGGTGGGAGCCGGCAGGGGTGACACGCACTGCGAAGACACGTGCTGAGTGTGGACTTGACTTATCACCAGAGCACTTGCCTGCTGTCAGGTTCGGCCTTGCTGAAGGACCTGGTAAGGTGTCCTGCCCCAGGGTGGATTGCCTCCATCCGCCTGTACTCACAGGGAAGCCAAGGAAGAGCGGGGTGGCGTCCCACCCCTGTTCACTCATCCTCAGTCCCAAGCGCCCGTTCCGACTGCACACGCCATCTCTCCCTGCCTTCCAGGCCGGCTGCTTTTGTCGCAGTAAATCCTTAGGTGACAGTAACAATACGTTGTCACCACCCAAATCGAAAGAGTAAGAGGAGGACCTGAGGAAGTATGCGTTGAGCCCCCAGAGGCTATTTTTAGATGCCCCTGGGAGGTTTTGAAAAACGGACTCTCTCGGTGGCGTTAACTATTTATGACTTTCCAAATGCAGGACAGAAATAGAAGAGCAGCACTCAGCTTCGCCTCGAAGCCTGGGGAAGTAGCAAGTGCTCCGAGGCCCGAATCCGCCCTGGGGCCATTAAATTGACTGTCTCTTGGACGACACTTAATATCCAGCAGAAGGCTTTCACTCCGAGCCAGAGCAAAAGTTTTTCTTTTCGGTGGTGTTGAACATTGTCTCGAGAGCAGCTGGAGAAATTGAGTCAAGTGAGCAAGAACTATGTCTGGGTCTCACGGTTGGTCTGTGGCCAACTCCTGGCAGAAGCAAATCTCCTGAGGGTTGAGCTAAATGTCCCAGATGAGGTTTGGGGTGCACAAAATCCTCCTCCTACCCCCTCGCAGGAGACGCATCCCAGCCAATGGACATCATGACACACCCAGTCCAGCAAATGGACAAGGTATCACCACCCTGAGTCAACCAGGCTGCATCTTCCACGATTCTTTGCTGCAGGCCAACTTTTCACCTGAAAGAGTCAATGTTCTTAAGGAGCAATTGGATTAAACAGGTTAAAGTCAGAGGCTCTGGGCCTCTGCAAACCTCACGGAGTCGGACACAAGGAGTTTCCCTGGCTGCGACGTGCCCCAAGCCCGAGGGGAATGTATAGGGATTTCCTAGCTGGTCCCGAAAGCGTTCTGATGTCCTTTCCCATAGACAGGAGCTTGATCATCTCCGCCTTTCAACTCAGCTCATCAGGGACTTGGGAATCAAAGGAAATCACGGATGTAGGCCTTGGCCCCACACAGCCCAGAGCTGTAAGCTAAACACACCCACAAGAGACCGACATGTGTCTGAGCAGGAAACCTCAGAGGAATGCATTAACATCCCGGTCAGAGTTTCCATCTGGCTGGTGTGCTCAGCGCAGAAGCCGCCGGTGCTGGCTGCCCCCTCCCTGCTGGCTCTGCCTGGTGCCAGTCCTGAGCCAGTGTGGGCGGAGGCGAAGCGTGTGTTGATCATCTCCCTGCCTGAGCATGGTCTCGGGGCTCCCCAGGTCTGGGGCTCGGTGTTCCAGCCTCCTCTGTCCTTCGGGTGATTTGCGGTGACAACCGTGCCCTGCGCTTGGCATGCTAGGGTGAACCCTCTACAGACAAGCGAGAGTGAAGGCCTGGCGTGGATCCTCTACCTGACGCCCTCCGCTACCTGTCTCTTCCGTTTTGGCAATGCTGCTGCCATACACTTCCTGATCGGCTACTCTGGCACCAGCCCCTTTGGAATCCCACTTTGCCGGGCACTGTTCCCTCTCCAGAAGCGACGACTACAGTTGATTTTGTTTCTGTTGACAGCTCCCTCCTACCAGCTCATGTCCTTCCTCTGCCCACGTGCGCAGTGTGCTCATTACGGTCTTGCGTCGTAGTTGCATATGAACTCGTCTGTCTTCCCCGCGGGGCTGTGAGCTCCACGGGAGCAGCAAGCTTCTTATTGGTGTCTCTTCTGGTCCCCAGCACCTAGTGCAGCACTCAGCACAACCTAGCCATGTTTAACGTAGAGCCGATGCAAGAAAGCGTAAATGAAAAGATAACATCCCATTCCCGCCGAAGGGAGCGATCCCTCACTTGACATTGCCAGCACACATCCATCTGCGCTCATTTAACTGAAAGCTCAGTGCAGACCAACTCTGGGAGAATTTTGTCACTTCTAGACAACAGCAGAGGTCTTTACAAAGACGTGGCTCGTTGCAAAAGAGGTATTGTCACAGATACACGTCCTTTTGGTTTGTTGGGCAATTATATGTAATTCACCATTCTACCAACTAATCAAGTCTTCAGTTGCCACAAGTAAAAAAAAATTATATTTCAGGTGAATCAAAGGGGAAATAACACTTGATTGGAGAAAATGAGGTAGTACGTTGGCTCCTGGTGACTGTAAATCTTGGAATGAGTCGCAAAGTATCTCTAAGCCTTAGTTTCCTCATCTGGAAATTGCGGTGGTTGAACTCAGTAATCATCAAGTTTCCTCCCATGTTTATGGCTCTATTAACCTATAATTGTGTTTCGAAAGGCAAGGCTCAAAGCCTGCCCTTTCTGTCTTTTGGCCAAGTCACAGCCTCAGGGTTAAAGCCTTTGCCTGAGTTTTCACTTGTGGCCACCAGGTGGCAGGAGTGTGCCACAGTCGTTGGTCCCAAGCTCCAAGTGTGTGCATCAGAAGCTGACTTATCGAGGTATTTGTCTGATTTAGGAGGCCAGAGAGTGACTTTTTGTAATAGCAAAACTTTTTGCTTGTGAAAACATTCACTTTTATGCAAAATAGAATCCTGAGAGTTAGCGAGGATTATATTAAAAATGCCCCAGGGACTTAACAAAGTGAACAAATTGAGCGCGTTTCCTGCCCACAGGGAGCTTCCACTCTGCTGAGGGGCATAAGTAAACCGAACACTCACAGGTTTGTAAAACTAAAGCTATGAACGTGCGCTGAGAACTGGGAGTAGGTGTCAGAGTCCTGGAGGAGTGGTGACAAAAGGCTTGACTCACAACCTGGCCGCGTGTGCTCAGTTGAATTTAAGTTAGTTAAAATCGAGCACAAATGTAAATACTTAGCTTCGCAGTTGCACCCACCACATAGCAAGTGCACAGGGGCCACGTGTGGTTGGTGGTCACCATATTGTACAGCACCAATGACAGAACAGCTCTGTGGCCACCAGAAGCTCTACTGGGTACTGCTGATCTAGAATAGAGATTCTGAACCTTGGCCCTATGAACAGTTGGAGCCTGCTGCCTGCTTGTTGTCAGAGGCTGTTCTGTGCATTGTACCAAGGTTAGTAGCATTACTAGATGCCAGTAGCTGTGGCAAGCAAGATTAAAAGCATAGTGTCTCCAAACATTGCAAAATGTCTCACAGGGGAGCCAAAATTGCCCTCAGTTGGGAGCCACTGGACCTTCAGATGGAAATAAGTTGTTATTAGAGTTCAGAGAGGTGAGGACTTTGAGGGAGTCAACTAAGGTTCTCCACCTAGAATGGAGGATGCAGGGAATGCTTCCCCCAAAGAGTTGACTCCTTTGCCATCTCTTGCAAGGCAAAAGCAATGGCATCAGCAAGACTCGACACCACTACTGGTCCCGCCTTTCAACCTGCTTTCTCCCTTCAGTGTCTAAGCCTGGTCCTGGCTGCTCCCGTGCTGGACTGAGACACCATGGTGTCAACTCCCCTCTCCTTCGGTCTCCTTTTTATTCTTCAGATTACTGGTCTTGGGATGTTGTTTAGGGATCCCATATTCCGTCTTTCTTGTCCTGTTGAAGATTCTTATTGTAACAAAAAGAGCTAACTCAAACAAAAGGGACACCCACGGTTAGAAAGTCTTCATGAAATTCCAAGACAAGAGTCTAAGTTCTTTTAGGCTCCATGGGAACTTGAACAAGGAGATCAATGCCAAAAATCTACTCCATCTTGAGTTCTTCATGACCTCACCTAAGATATTTCTGCTGCCCTGGAAGGTAAGACCTGTTGTCTTACCTGACCCCTGATCAATTTCTTCCTGCCTTCAGTTGCAGGTGGTCTATGATGGCTACCCAGTTTTCCCCACAGTGGAGTAACTCTTGATAGTCTTTCTGACTAACCTATATGACTTTTAGCTCATCCTAATTTATGATTGACCTAATGTCACTTTTTTGAGTAAAGTCACGTAAGTCAAGAGCTCCTAGTTTGTAGGGAAGTTCTTTTTGGGGGCTAGAACCTCCATTGGTTGCACAGTCTCACTGTGTCTACTCAACAGGAATCCTTGGTAGCAGACCTAGGAAGGCTAGGTGCCCTGTACGCAGCTGGTCCAATTTCTACTTCTAGGGTGACACTGATTTCCTCTTTATTTCCCAGCCATCCTTAGCTCTGAGATTGATCTACATTCCTCTATATTCTCTTCTTTAATGAACATTTTACTTTCTCCCAAAACCTAGTATAGTGCAGAACCTATCAGATAGTGGATACTTGGTGGATGTTTGCTGGGTTGAATCTCACTAGTTGAAGACCACCAGGAACACTCCTGCAGTCAAACAAGAGTAGGTTTATTATGTTTGCTACTGTAAGAAGACAAACTCTTGATAAAAGAGCATTGTATGACTTATTTAAATATTTTGGGGCAGGGTTGGCATTATGGCACAGTGGGTTAAGTCACAGCTTGCAATGCCAGCATTGCTTGGCCCAGATCTGATAATTGCAAGCCATTTGGAGAGTGAATCAACACATGAAAGATATCTCTCTTTCTCTCTCCTCTGTGTGTGTGTGTATGTGTCTTTGCTTTTCAAATAAATCCATAGATAAATAAATAAATAATCTAACACAGCCAAAAAGCTGAGGGGCTTCGATGCCAGTTGAGACGTCAGTATTCCATACTGGAGCACCTGGGTTCAATACTAGCTCTGGCTCCGACTCTGCCTTCCTGCCAACGCAGACCCCGAGAGGCTGCCGCGATGACTCCAGTGATTGAGTTCCTGTCTCCCACATGGGAAACCTGAATTGAATTCTCAGCTGCTAGCTTCGGCCCAGCTCAGTCCTGGCCACTGCAGGCATTTGAAGAGCGGGTGAGCAGATGGAGTGTGCGCGCTCTCTCTCTGCCTCTCAAATAAATAAATAAATAAACAGTTAAAAATAAAAAAGATTTGGGCTTCTGCTAGGCGATTTTAAGGAAGAACTAGAAGAACGGGAGTCAGTTTTATATGAGAAGCTGTAGGGCCTGAGGGCGTTTGAGCCATGTGCTGTCTCAGAAGTCCTTTTTCAGGAAGTAGAAGAACAGCATGAGGCTGGGCATGCCATTGGTAAGGAAGCAGCAATTTCTCAGAAGTCATTTTTTAGCTCTAGTGTGGCCCTTATGCTGTGGGGCTAGAAACATTATTTATCACAGTATGACCATAGGGTCGACTTCCACTTTTTCAGTTAAATGGAACAAATATCTGAATGAATGTTTTACCTCACCCAAATGCAGAAGCAATGGCAGTGGGTTACAGGTAAGAGTCAGGTGACATTTGTAAACCCGCCAAAGTGGCCCCTCATATGTCTTTCCGATGATTGCTTTTTTATTGACTTTGAATAAAATTGGCTTTTTTATATAATGATATAACATATTCATCCAAGGCTTCACCTACTGTGTTGAAATAGATGATGATAAATATTTTTGTTTTTTAGAATAGTGTCTGCAAATACTAGCTGATAGAATAAAAGAGGGAGAGAACGATCCAACATGGGAAGTGAGATACACAGCAGACCCATAGAATAGCAGATGTCCTAAACAGCACTCTGGCCTCAGAATCAGCCCTTAAGGCATGCGGATCCAGCTGAAAAGCCCATGAGAGTATTTCAGGCATGGAAAGCCAAGACGCTCTGGTGGGAAAAAAAAAAAAAAAAAAAAAAAAAGATCTCCACAAGTGAGATCCCAGTGGAAAGAACGGGTCATCAAAGAAGGGAGTACCTTTCTCTGAAGGGAGGAGAGAACTTCCACTTTGACCATGGCCTTGTCTAAATATGACCAGAGTTGGTGAACTCAGGGGGCTTCCATAGCCCTGGCAGCTCATGACAAGAGCCTAGGGTGATTACTGATGCCATAAACAAGAGTGTCAATTTGTTAAGTCAACAACAGGAGTCACTGTGCACTTACTCCTCATGTAGGATCTCTGTCCTTAGTGTCTGTACATTGAGATTTAATGCTATAACTAGTACTCAAACAGTATTTTTCACTTTATGTTTCTGTGTGGGAGCAAACTGTTGAAATCTTTACTTAATGTATGCTAAACTGATCTTCTGTATATAAAGAGAATCGAAAATGAAAAAAAAAATTTTGTTTTTTTGTGTGTGTGTTTTCACCCCTTTTTATTTTGATTGTTCCTTCAAGGAGCTGATTCTGTAGTTGGTCGATGTTCCTCTTCAAATGTGGTCCTACACATTCCAGATACAGTCAGCGTGGTGCTCAGAACAACAGGCCATTACTTCCAGAGTAGGCACCATCAAACTCATGAGACATACCTTTTTTTCTTTTTCAGGAGCCGTGTATTCATAACAACCCTTTTTAAGAACACTCTGACCTGGTCTTTGATTTGTGGAATCTGAGTAGAAAGTTCATTTATCTTTATTCATCCCTTGCTCATTTTTATTTAACTTTCAAGAAGGTTGGAAAAAATACTTACCTGAGTTGTTACTCTTCAGACTTTAAGTCAGTTGCAATTTGCCTAACATCTTGTTTCTGTAATTCACTTACAACGCTGACCAAAAGTTGACTAGGACGCAAGAAAGGCCACAATCACTCCAGGAATTCATCAGGAAACACCTTTGTCATGGTTGTTAGATGGCTTTCAGTATTATTAACCCACCCATGTATCACTGCTGTGTGTGCAGAGTGGAAGGGGAGTTGATTTTTCTAGACGGCCGTGAGCCTGGTTACTTCATTCCTCAGGGCTGAGCACTTCCTACAGATTGTACACTTGGACAGCAGTGTCGGCTCCTCTGAGCCTCAAACTCCCTTTTGCAAAAGGGAGTGAGTAAATGCACACCTCAAATGGCTCTTGTGAGGACTGAATGAGCAACACCTTAACCACGTGCATTTTCAGAAGCTTACGACAGCTTGGAGCACTGGGAAATAGGGGAGAGTTGGGGGAGGTGGGAGCAGGAGGATCAGTGAAGTCTGTAAGGAGTGTTCCAAGCATGAGGTCATCAGCGTTTAACGAAGGGTGGGGTGGCTTTGAAAACGCACAGGGAGGTGGTGTTGCTGAAAGTATTACGAAAGGAAAATTCAGCAGGTCCCCATGAACCACGAATGAATATGAGCAGAAATGGGGAAAAGAGAGCTTTGGGGTCTGGGTAATTTGGATGGCGTCGCCATGGCTAGAAATTAAGCTGCTCTGGGGAGATGTTTAGGGAAACAGTTGGACGGTGGAGAGAATACTCGCTGGAACGTTCTGGGCAGAAATAGTGATAAGGATTGTCTTTTTGGTTTGAGTTCTGGATAATTTCATGTTCATTTGTTTGTTAAGGTGCTGTTAGTCCTTACAAGAGCCATTTGAGGTGTGATGGCAAAAGGGTATATTGCGAAAGGGAATTTGAGACTCACAGGAGCTAACAGTTTTGTCCAAGTGTACATCTTGTTGGAAATGCTCAGTTCTGGGAGTCTGGAAGTAACCAGATATGTGGCCATCCTAAAAGAACATTAACTCTTGCATAACAGTAAATAGATTTTATAATCAACTTAAGCTTAGAGAAGACAGAAGACTGCATTTAATTCAGTGTAGCAGAAGTGAGTAGAAGAATGGCCAGGCTTCTAAGAGGATGAGATGGGTAAAAATGAAGGTCAGGTTCCAAGGAGAAGGATACTGTAGATGGAGAGCAATATTGAACTTCAGAATGCCCAGGAAGCAGCAACACAGTTTATTTCTCTGGGAGAAATGGTGATGTGTGGACGGGCAGGAGAGGTGTCTGGAGAGGTAGACAAGACCCAGATGGTGGAAGTCCTTTATGTTGGGATTGAGTTTGGACTTCATGTTGTTTGTAGATGGGAGACAGTGACTATTTTAAACAGGAGGATCAATTTAACAGAATTGAACTTGCATGGTGGAAAAATAACTCTGGCCACAAGGTGAAGCCTTGATTAGAAGGGGGAAGATGGGAAGACCTGCAGAGTTCCAGTGTTGATAGTAGTCTGATCCAGGCAGATGCAAGCCTGATTTGTGATAGGGGATAAGGGAGAGAGGATGTGGAAGATATGGGGACTGTTTAGACATGGAGATTTGGAGAACAAACTGTAGTGGAGGATGCTGGGCGGTGACCTCCATCGTTGGTGTAGACAGTGAAGTCATCAGCAAAGCCAAGGACACTTGAAATGTGAAGAGTGTGGGCGAGGTGAGTGTGGATAAAGATGAGAGTCCAGTTTGGGATGTGCCATTTATGAAGTGGTTTTGTGACAGTTCCAGAAAATTGTCTAGTAGACAACAAAATGGAGCTTAAAAGGAAGCAAAATTTGGACTGTAGATGAAATGCCCTTAGAGGCAGTGTGAGTGCCTGGTAGAGTTGATTCTGTTTATTCATGGTAGTTACACGCCCCAAAGTCATGACAAATGCAGAATTGGAGAATGCGGAGGCCTTGCTACCAGGGGAACTTGAAGGTGATATCCCTATAGGCATCTGACCACCACATTTTAATCAGATACTCAGCAGTTATTTTATGTGCATCTTTCTTTAAATGTATCTCATTTAGTTTATATTCTGGAATCTTTACACTGAGCTCGTGGCTAACAGCGCCTTAAATCACACCCAAATGAAGCTTTTGCCATACCTGTGTTTTCTCCATAAGGTGAATCACAACCAGTTTGCACTGAGGAACACTACCCAGCACTTTGGAACTGTGTTTGGGGCCCATTTTAAACACTGAAATCACCAAGAAAGTGCACAAATATCTCCAAAGAAAGGCACTCAATAGATGAGGGGAAAAAATACTTGTTTCCCTATAAACACTAGAATAAGAAGGCAGAGTGTAGCTTGCCCAGCTCTGTTGGGAATGTGTGCTTTGGGGGAACTAACTCTCCCAGCGTTGTGTGCACATATGTGAGTGACAAGCTCCCATGGGTATTGACTTGGGAGTTATAAATAAATTTTGGTGAGTATGTAAATTCTTGAATAATGAGGAACCAAGTGTTCTTAAACCCTGATGTGTTGACATCACCTTGAGAAAGGACTAAGAGAGGGAAAGGGGCTAGAATATGCTCTGAGACACACTCACATTTGATAGTGAGGCAGCGGAAAGATGCGTGGGATGGATACTGAGAAAGAGCAGTGGGAGAATGGGGTTTAAACATGTGCTTGTGGGGCACAGAGTCTCCAAAGCAGCGTGTACTCAGGGGTAGCCATCACAGCCAAGAGGTTCAGCAAGATGAAGACAGAAGGGAGCCCACTAGATTTTACAGACAGGAGGAGAGCTTGGGAAGAACACTGCACATGGGCATGAGGGGGCAGAAGCCAAATACCAAAAGCTGAATAATGAAGAAGTAGTGGTTCAAGCATAGACTATTCTATTGGTATGCTTAGATGTAAAGAGAAGGGAAAGATGGTGCCGTGGCTTGAAAGAACCATAAGGGAAATTGGTTTTACTGACAGAAGTGTAGAGTTAAGATATTAGAAATATCAGCGATTTGTTTATGTCTAACTGCCATTGAGAGTAGACAGCAGAGAGGCAGAGGAAGGAGACACAGAAAACTAGGGCACAGCAGATGGAGGTGAGGTCCACTGGCGGGCACAGCCTAGGGGATCAGCCTCTGGCAGCTCAGAAAGGAGGCAGGAAGGGAGAGGTGGGAATGGGAACACATTTTAGGTCTTTGAACATGCCAGATTCATCCAAGGGCCTTTGCAAAGGCTGTTCCCTCTGCCCAGAATGCTCTTCCCCACAACTTTTCATGGTTTTATGTGTGTATTCTTGTATGACTGGCTCCTTCTTATTGTTCAAGCCTCAGCTCAAATGTCAGGCTGGCCCTGACCATCCAATTTAAAGTAGTCCGTGTACACACTCATCTCAAATTTCATCTGTTTACTTGTTCATTTCCCTTATCACTCTACTGTGAACTAACTCCATGAGGGTTGGGAGGTTTGTCTGTCTTGTTCACAGATGCACACCCAATGCCTGACATGTGTTTCCTGACCAAATGAACACACAGAGGGGGCATGGAGGGGGTGTCCTTTGGGAGAGGAAGGCCATGTCTTGTTTCTCTTAGTACTGTGGTGCCTGGCAGAGAACAGGTGCTCCATGTCGAATGCAAAACTGAATGATAGTTCTTTTCCCAGGTGTATCCCCAAGATAACTGAAAAGAGGTGTTCCAACAAAGACTTAGACAAAAATGTTCATGGAAACATTATTCATAGTGGACCAGAGGCAGAAATGGCTCAAATGTCCATCTACTGCTGAATGGATACACAAACAAAATGTGATTTATCCAAACAATGGAATATTATCCAGCCATAAACACAAATAAAGTTCTGACACATACCACAATATGGCTGATCCTTGAAAACAGTGTGCTAAATGAAAGAAGCCAAGCACAAGAATCCATAATGTGAAATCCACAGAGCATAGTAGCTGCCAAGGGTTGGAGAGAGAGCGAGTAGAGAGTGATTGTTTCAGCAGTATGGATTTCTTTCAGGGAGGGGGAGGTCAAAATATTTTGAAATTAAATAATGGCGATAGTTGTGCAGCATCATTAATGTACCAGAAGCAACTGAATTGCGTACTTTAAAATGGTGCATTTTGTGTTATATAAATATTGCCACAACTGAAAATATAGAAGGGAACTGCATATAGTGCATAACTGAACTTTCAATCACACAGGACTGGCATATACCACTCATTTACAGACTGAGAACCTCCTAAAGCGGCTCGGAGGCATGAGTCCACCAAACACACTTAGTACCGGAAGAACCAAGTCTCTACTCATGACACTGTTGGAAGGTTATTCTTTCACATTGTGAGCTCTCAGCTCTTGCAGGAAAACAACTTGATTCCCACGTGGACCTTTGGGGCAACTTCTACTGCATGAAAAGCAATTCTGTTCTGGGTAGTTGCAAATGCTTTTACTGAAGATAGGGATGAATGCTGCTACTGAATGAATGCTACTACTAAGGAGACGGGATGAAACCATCTCCAACTCTCCATCTTCAACGCATGGCTCACAACAGCTGGCACTTCTAAGGGGCCATCCTTCCATGGCATTTGGGGAGAGGAAGCCCAGCATGGGCCTCTAGGGGACAAAACAGCCACAACAGAGAGCCTGGCAGCTGCAGGGAGCTCAGCAGGCTCTGGGGGCAGATGCTGGGGCAGACAGGTCTCCAGGAGCCCCAAGAGGCTGCAAGAGTGATGCCTCTTATTTCTAGCTGTGAATAGACCTCTAGTGGCAGCCGCGAAAATTAACCCACTTTCTCCAGAGCAGAGGCGGTGCTTCCCAGGAAGGCTGTGATTCTTTTCTCTCCAAGCACTATGGGCCGCAGCCATTCCAACAGAAGAAGAATAAATCATCCCCCGCAGTGTTCACCCTCCCGCAGGACTGGCTTGCCAAATGTACTCTTTACAATCTCTGAGCAAATTTTCTTCATTCCCTATCTCCCATGTGGGCTGAACTGTGGACACGGAAGTTGTCCTATGTTGAAAGTCCTGAGCCTCCACTCCTATTGGGCACTGGGGAGAAGACTCAAAGGCAGGGTCTTTTACACGAAGGGAGCCTGGCTGTCCGGCATACTTGGCCCCTGACCAAAGAAAAGAATGTCTGTGAATGGTGATGTTTGAGTAAGAATTAAGTTCAAGCTTCAGCAGGTGTCTTTTCTACTTGGTTATTGGACAGTAATTCTCCAGGTTGTGTCAAATGACTTAATGTCATAGCCCCTTGTCCAAGGGGGCTCCTCTTACTGCCAGCCAAATGATTATGCCCTGCTTCATGTTCCTCTTCTACTTTGGCAGTACCATGATGGCACTGGGGTCATTCATTCATTCAGCAAATATTTATTGGCGTATTTTGAGTCAGGCACTGCTGTGGATGCTATTGATACAGTAGTGAATATCAAAGGCAAAGTGTTAGCACTCATGGGGAAGTTATGTGTATGCATGTGTGTATAGCACATAAATATATGAAATATCTGTGAAGAAAAAGTTGGGAAGTGTATAACAGGTACAGTGGATAGATGGAGATTAGCATTTTTAGTCGGATTGTTGAGGATGGCTCTCTGTTAAGAAGACATTGGAACAAAGGGACTGATGGAGTAAAACATGCAGATGATACTGAGCAGAAGAGAAATATGAGTACATTTTCACAGGATCATTCTGGTTGCTGGGGGAGAATAAAATGAAAAGGAACTAGGGGGAAGTAGAGAAGTCAGCTAGAAACGTATTACTAGAATCCAGATATTATGGTTTGAATAGACCATGTCTCCTGAAATAGATGGTTAAATGCCAAAGTCACAAATTAGTGGTAGTAGGAAGGTAGAAACAATACAATTATGGTTTCTAAGAGCTGATTTGTATCATTGAGGGTGTTCCCTTGCAGCGTAGTTCTCCTTGAGTTGGGCCCAGTTGTTCTCTCTACTTCCTGGCTCAGGACCATGTGATCCATCCATGCACATTTGTTTCACCATGGCCACCCTCTGGCACCACCAGACAGATGCCCAACCAATAGGCCTGCGTGATCTTGGCCTGTGAACCTCTAAAACTGTAAGCCAGAATAAACCTCCTTCCTCCATAAAGAACTCATCTTAAGTATTTCATTATAGTAACAAAAGGCCAACCAGTGCACCATGTGGAGATAATAGTGGCCCTAACCAGGGTGGATACAGTGGGTGTGGTAAAATGTGGTTAGATATAGGATGCATCTTGAAGGCAGAGCTCCCGGGATTTGCTAACTGGTTGGATATGAGAGAAAGAAGAACCAAAGGTGATTGATTCCAAGTTTGGATGCCTGGAACAATTGGAATGCCTTTTCTGGAGGTAAAAGTATGTTTAACACAGGGAAGCTAGGAGTTTGGTTCTAGACTTTTAGATCTAGGAGATGTCAAGAAGGCAAATGTAGATCAAAGCCTGGAGGCCCAGGTTGGAGCTATCCACTTATGAGTTGTGAGAGCACAGATGGAATTTAAAGGACAGCATACAATGAGATCCTCCCCCTCCTCCTCCTGCAGGGATTATAAACATGCAGAAGAGAAGCAGCCAAAGAACTGAGCTCTGTGGCACATGGAGCAGGAAGCGAAGGTCATTGAGAACGAGGATTGGGTGAGGCAGAAAACAAACCACAGGAGAAGGATGTCCTGGGACCCAGATGGAGCAAGTGCTCCAGGAAAGAGGGAATAAAATGAGCTGGGCATCTGAGAAACAAGAGAACTGGGGGCCAGTGGTGGTGTGGTGTAGTGGGTTAAGTGTTGCCTGCAATGCTGGCATCCCATATGGTCACCTGTTCAACTCCCAGCTGCTCCGCTTCTGATCCAGCTCCCTGCTAATGTGCCTGGGAAAGCAGCAGAGGATGGCCCAAGTACTTGGACTCCTGCACCCACTTGGGAGACCTGGAAGAAGCTCCTGGCTCCTGGTTTCTGCCTGGTCCAGCCTTCACTATTGTGGCCATTTTAGTAGTGAACCAGTGGATGGAAGTTCTCTCTCTCTCTGTTGCTCTGCCTTTCAAATAAATAATTTTATTTCTTTTTTAAAAGATTTATTTTATTTTTTTGAAAGGCAGAGCTATAGAGAGACAGAGAGAGAGAGAGAGAGAGAGAGCACGAAATCATCCGTCCACTGGTTCACTCCCCAAATGGCTGCAATGGCTGGAGCTGCACTGATCCAAAGCCAGGAGCCTCTTCTGGGTCTCCCATATGGGTGCAGAGGCTCAAGGACTTGGGCCATCTTCTACTGCTTTTCCAGGCCATAGCGGAGAGCTGGATTGGAAGTGGAGCAGCTGGGACTTGAACCTGCACCCATAATGAGATGCCAGCAGTGCAGGTGGCGGCCTCAATAACTAAATCTTTAAAAAAGAGAGAGAGAGAGAGAACTGAGAATTGGCTGTTTGATTTTGCGATTGGAGATCATGAATGCTCTTGTGAGTGTTCTTCCAGTGAAATGGCAGAAGCACAAACCTGATTATGGTGTCTTCAAGAGTGGAAGTGATAACAGTGAGTCCCAGCAGCTCTTGAAGAGTGTTAGATGGAGAAGACGAGGATCCGTGAGTAGGTGGGAAGTGATGGAACTCATTGTGCAAGTGGAGCAATTGGGCCTAGAAAGGAACTCGGACATGGCAAGTATTTCTTTTTCTCCCTTTAAAAGAAAATCTGTAGGTCTGTGTCTTCATTTCACAACTACTATGTAACTTAACACTGGGCAGGCAAAGATGGACAGAAGAGATGATGGAGCTGACATTATCTATGTCTTGAATTGGACTATTTGTGGAACATCATAAAATATTGAAATATGAATTTTAAAATAGCTAATATGTGCGACATAATTCAATACCAGATTTTAGCATGAACAAGCACTAATGGGCACCACAGGTATAAGAAAATAATTTTAAGTGAAAAAAACTTTCAGCCAGTAGCTTATTGTACTGAAATTTCCATGACTTGGGAAATGTCCACTGGGTTATTATTCTTTGCAAATGCAAAGAATTTTGGCTTTGTTTGTAGAACATCAGGGTTCCGTGTCTTCAGAGACTGCCCTTATGACTCTAAGAGCTACACAGCATTCAGGAGAACTATCTTAAATGCTGAATCAAGGGTGAGTGTTTGGCTAGTGGTTAAAATACTGATTGGGATGCACACATCCCTTATTGGAGTGCCTGGATTTGAGTCCTAACTCTGCCCCTGATTCCAACTTCCTGTTAATACACATCCTGAGAGGCAACAGGTGATGGCTCAAGTGGTTGGGTTTCTGCCATTCACATGGGAAATCTGGATGGAGCTCCCAGCTTTGGCCTGGCCTACCTCCAGTCATTGGGGGAATCTAAGGAGTGAATCAGCAGATGAGAGCTTTGTCTGTCTGTCTCGTTGCCTCTTGTATAAATAAGTCAATAAAATCAAATACAATACTGAGGCAGTACCTGCACCCTCCGCTAATACATAGAGGCTTTTCACATTACGGGTAAGGAGAGAAGGGATCCCATATGTTGGCCACCAGAAGCCAGTATTGCCAGCACTGATTCCCCAGCACCAGGTTGGCAAGGTTGGATTGACTTGCCCCAGGAGGCCTGGGAGGGTGCTCTCACCTGCACAAGATACTCACCACAGGGGCATCCCACAGCACTTGGAAAGTCTCTAGAGGCATCTACAAGTGGACAAGATTCAACACAAAAACAGGCAATTCCTCTGATTTTCCAGTAAGCAAGGTCAAATCATACATCTGGCCATGCTCCAGACCTCAACTCAGGTCTGAAAATGGCCACCGTGCTTTCTTTTCTTTTCTTTTTCATTATTTCTTTTTTTAAACCAGTTACCCATATTTGCTTATTAAGTCCTAATCAATACCATAAACCTCAGAGAGGCTAGGTGGCCCTCCAAAGTCACACAGCCAGTAGGTGGCAGACCTGGGACCAGAACACAAGTTTTCTACCATCAAATTTGTGCTTGTTCAATCAAATGAAACCGATAAAAAGTAAGACTTCAAACCCAAGGACACACCTTCCCAAATCACACCTGTGTGGGTGGGTGCTATTTGGGTAAGGTCAGGTCCTGGGTAAGGTTGGGTGGGGTGAGTCCATGCCCTGTTTTCTCTTGTGAATCTTGTGTCCTCTACTGTCCCTGAACTGGGGTGGGACCTGACAACAAGGTGGCTACATTTAGCTGGAATACCATCTGGGAGATCCAAAGGTAAGCAGTGTGTGTGTGTGTGTGTGTGTGTGTGTGTGTAGACCTATCATTTGTTTAATTCTTTCTATTTTCTAAGTGCTATCACATACATCATTCCTTGTGAGCATCATTGCAACTTTGTGTTGTAAGAATTAATCTAAGTCCATTTAATGGATAAGACTATTGAATCCAGAAGAGAGAAGTCCCCACATGATACATTCATGCTCTAGGATCCCCCATGGGTGACTTTTAGGACTTTGAGGCACCTCTTTCTCCAACACCGTGCTGTGGCTTCTCAAAACTCCAGGAGGCAGAGTGAGAAGGGGGAAGTTGCTGGACACTTTGCATATTATCTTGACAACCACAGAAAGAGGCTAACAAAGGAACAGGAGCTGAGAGATGTGTGTAAGGTCACATAAACATCCATGGTCAAACTGTCTGTCAATCTGGTCAGGAAATGGTGACTTTCCACAGCCCACTGCTGCCTCTCCAAGAGGACTTCTGCTAGCTGGGGTAGTGGGGGTCTAGGAACAGGACCTCTGCTCACCCCCAGATGTCTTCAGTGGGCATCTAAGGAAGAGGAGGTTGAATTATCTTTTTTTAAAAAGATTTATTTATTTTACTTGAAAGAGTTACACACAGAGAGAAGGAGAGGCAGAGAGAGAGAGAGAGAGAGAGAGAGAGAGAGAGAGAGGTCTTCCATCTGCTGGTTCACTCCCCAGTTGGCCGCAACGGCTGGAGCTGTGTTGATCTGAAGCTAGGAGCCAGGAGTTTCTTCCAGGTCTCCTACGCTGGTGTAGGGGCCCAAGGACTTGGGCCATCTTCTACTGCTTTCCCAGGCCATAGCAGAGAGTTGGATAGGAAGTGGAGTAGCTGGGACTTGAATCAGCGCCTATATGGGATGCCGGCACTGCAGGCGGCGGCTTTACCTGCTACACCAGAGAGCGGCCCCAGGTTGAATTATTTTGCAGCAAGAATTCAAATTTGAATTCTAATCTGCAGCCCCCATCCCCTCCACCCCACCTCGTGACATCCAACATAGCCTTCACTTTCCTGAGCCTCCTTTATAAATTGGTGACTCCAGTTCCTACCTAACAGGGCTCTTGTGAGCTGATGATGAGTAAAGAGACCACAGAGCTTCACACCAAATGGGATCTTAGCACAGGGATGGCCCCTCCCATTTCTGGCAGCCCAGGACTGTGTGTTTTGCTCTGTGTTTGCATTGGGCACTGGGTGTTGGAGGGAATGCAGATGAGTGATTCCAGAGGTTTTCTCTCCTTCTTCCCCTACTGGGGCTCCTGACTTCCTGAAACCCGTATTTCAGAGACAAGCACCTTTCTGCTGATTGTTGTGTCAGCCCAGTAGACCTGCTCTGAAGTCCCTTATGCTGTTTAAGTTGAAGGCAACAGGAATGCAGCAGGCTTGGGAAAGTACCTTTGTCCATCCATCCATGACCACAGGTATTCTAATGAAATACATCACATTCATTTTTCTTGAAAGTTTGACTTCCTGAGTTTTCCAGAATGGAAATTGCTGCATTCTCCGTGGTTCCTTTGATGTAGCAATATCACCCATGTGCAGGATGAACCAGATCTCTAAGGTCTCCAAACTCATCCCCCAGGGGGCAAGTTCAGGTTTACAAAGGTGATAAATGGCTTCTTCCACCCTTGTTCTGGATGTGTCATTTGTCAGCTCTGGGCTTACCTTGAACAAGATACGATGAGTGGCTACTGTTTGATAGCCACTGAGTGAGTTCTAAGAGGTGGGAAGATACATTGACACAAATGCCTCAAGCCCCTATCAGAGGAGAGCACAAGGTGTATCTGATTTATATTGCTACATAACAAATTATTTCCAAAAACCATTAGCTTAGAAGAAACATTTATTATCTTACATGGTTTCTTAACAATAGGAATCAGAGAACAGGTGAAATAGGTGGTTCAGGCTCAGAGTCTTTTAGGGTTCACGGTCAAATTCAAGTTGTCAGCTGGAGGCTGCAGTCATCTGACTGACTGAAGGTGGAGGATCCACTTCCAAGATAGCTCACTAATGTGGATGGGCCAGAGACTTCAGATCCTTGCCGTGTGGTCCTCATGATGTAGGACTGGCTTGTCCTTGAGTGTGGGATCTGAGAAAGAGAGACAAACAGAAACCTCTTTATGAGCTGTAGCCTCTACAACAACATATCATCAGTTCTGCTCTATTCCAATGGCTGTGTACACCAACTCCGATACAATGACCAGGGAGGGGAATTCACAATGGTTTAGGCCAGCAGGAAGGGTCTTTGGAGGGCCATCTAAGAGGCTGCCTATCTTGAAAGTCATGGTTAATCAGCAGATCTGTATTCAATTTTCACTTCTGCAACTAGCCAGCTAAAGGATCCCAGGAAAATCCATTTGTTTTTCTGACCCTTGATTTCCTTACCAGTGAAATGGAAATAAATAACATCTCCGTTAAATGGTTACCATGAGGTTTCCATTACACAGCTCAGGCAAAATGCTTGGTACATTTGAAAATAGCTGAATAAATATTAGCTCACATTTTTCTCTTCCCTTCTGCATTTTTAGAATTAGGAGGGGAAGGAACTATAATGGTTTGGGGGTTGTAAATCAGAGAAACTAAGGTTTTCAAGAATGGGAGTCTATTGCATTAAGAGCTAGATTTCAGATGGGCTTAATGTGATTCAGAGCTCCGATCAGCGGTTGTTTCTTCCTCTGGAAAATGGAGGTGATAATACCGACCTCACTGAGGATCTGTTAGAACTCCATGTGTCTACACATGGAAGAGCTTAGGGCAGCATCTGTCTGGAATAAACACACAGAAACTCTGCTGTTTAGGGAGCAAAGGCAGGGTCCCCTGTTACCTACAGAGGCTTCAGATGTGACTAAGGAGTTCCAGGAGCTTATGGGTGGAAGAGGCAGATCTCACCAGTTACAACAGGGAAACTGAAAAATCCCAAAGTTCGCTGGGGCCTCACAAGTACACCTGCCCTTGCCTGCTGCCTCTGGGATTGCCTTTCCTCCTCCTTTCTCTCTGCTCACCTCCTCTCCCCTGGATTCCTCCCAAGCTTCCAGTTCCCCTGCCCCTGGCACATCTTGTCTTTCCTGCACATGCTGAGTGGCAGCCAGTGCTGGGATTCTTTGAGGGTCTGCTTTCTACCCGAGGTGGGCTAATCAGGGCATTTTCTAATAGAGGTGCTAAAAAAATAGAAATTAGCTTCTGGAACATGCTTCATTTTTATGTTGGGGATTGCTGGTGTGTTTTTAAAGGCCTCCACACTTTGCCTAGTAAAACCTTTTCACAGCTTTACTAATTAGAGACTTTGTTAAATTAAGAATAAATGCATTAGATCTTGCATACTCTTCCAATAAAGCCTTCATTATCCTGTATTAATTTTAAAATTAAATTATATCAAAGTATATCACGTGTACATAAATTAAAAGTTCTAATAATATTAAAAGGTTTATTACCAAAACCAGCTGACTTCTACCCTTCTACCTATCCCCCAGAAGCAGCCAATTCCATTCTAGTTGGTCTTCTGGAATTTTCCTTCATATTACTAAATCATATGTATGTGTGTATGTACAGCTGTACTGAAATTTTTTGGAATTATATATTGATCTCCTCTTATGGTGGATGAGGATTAAACTGTCTTATAAAAAGATCACCTGAATTGGAGTAAGATGGCGGAGTAGGGAGGGAGCTTGCTGCTCGAGGCTAGAGAAGATAGTTTTTAAAAAAAGTGGAAAGATGCAGTCTCAGGGAAGAGACAGCAGCAGAGGACGCTTACCTAAATTGGAAGAACACAGTGGACTCACAGCCAGCGTCCTATTGAATGGGGAAAAGTTGGAAGCATTCCCGCTGAGATTCAGAACCAGACAAGGATGGCCACTCTCGCCATTGCTATTCAATGTAGTCCTGGAAGTTTTAGCCAGAGCCATTAGATAAGAAAAAAAAAATTAAAAGGATTCAAATTGGGAAAGAAGAAGTCAAACTATCCCTATTTGCAGATGACATGATTCTATATATAGGGGATCCAAAAGACTCCACCAAGAGACTATTGGATCTCACAAAAGAGTTTGGTAAAGTAGCAGGATATAAAATCACTAAACAAAAATTGACAGCCTTTGTATACACAGACAATGCCATGGCTGAAAAACAATTTCTAAGACTGATCCCATTCACAATACACACACACACACACACACACACAAAGAAAGAAAGAAAAAGAAAAAGAAAAAGAAATCAAATACCATGGAATAAATTTAACCAAGGATGTCAAAGATCTCTACAATGATAATTACAAAACATTAAAGAAAAAAATGGAATATACAAAAAAATGGAAAAATCTTCCATATTCATGAGTTGGAAGAATCAATATCAGCAAAATGTCCATTCTTCCAAAAGCAATTTACAGATTCAATGTGATACCAATCAAAATACCAAAGACATTCTTTTTAAATCTAGAGAAAATGATGCTGAAATTCTTATGGAAATACAGGAGACCTTGAATAGCTAAAGCAATCTTACATAACCAAAACAAAGCCGGAAGCATCACAACACCAGTTTTCAAGACAAACTACAAAGCAATTATAATCAAAACAGCCCAGTACTGGTTCAAAAGCAGATTGATGGACCAATAGAACAGAATAGAAACACCAGAAATCAATCCAAACATCTACAACAAACTTACGTTTGACAAAGGAACTAAAATCAATCACTGGAGTAAGGACAGTCTCTTCAATAAAAATGGTGCTGGGAAAATTGGATTTCCACATGCAGAAGTATGAAGCAGGACCCCTACCTTACACCTTACACAAAAATCCATTCAAAATGGAATAAAGACTTAAATCTATACCCTGATACCATCAAATTACTAGAGAACCTTGGGGAAACCATGCGAGACATTGGCATAGGCAAAGATTTCTTAGAAAAGACCCCAGAGGCACAGGCAATCAAAGCCAAAATCAACAAATGAGATTACCTCAAATTGAGAAGCTTCTGTACTGCAAAAGAAACAGTCAGGAAAGTGAAGAGGCAACTGAAATTATTTGAAAACAATGCAACTGATAAAGGATTAATAACCAGAATACATAAAGAGATCAAGAAACTCCACAACAACAAACAACTCAGTTAAGAGATGGGCATAGGACTTAAACAGACATTTTTCAAAAGAGGAAGTCCAAATGGCCAACAGACACATGAAAAAAGGTTCAGGATCACTAGCCTTCAGGGAAATGCAAATCAAAACCACAATGAGATTTCACCTCACCCCAGTTAGAATGGCTCACATACAGAAATCAACAAACAACAAATGCCAGTGAGGGTGTGGGGAAAAAGGTACCCTAATCCACTGTTGGTAGGAATGTAAACTGGTAAAACCACTATGGAAATCAGTTTGGAGATACCTCAAAAATCTGAATATAGACCCAACCATCCCACTCCTGCGAATTTATCCAAGGGAAATGAAATCAGCAAATAAAATAATTATCTGCACCCCCATGTTTATTGCAGCTCAATTCACAATAGCTAAGACATGGAATCAACCTAAATGCCCATCAACCAAAGACTGGATAAAGAAATTATAGGATATGTACTCTATGGAATACTACACAATGGTTAAAAAAAATTAAATCCAGTCATTTGCAACAAAATTGATGAATCTGGAAAACATCATACTTAGTGAAATAAACCGGTCCCAAAGGGACAAATACCATATGTACTCCCTGATCTGTGATAACTAACAGAGCACCTACAAGGAAATCTGTAGAAGTGAAATTGACACTTTGAGAAGCAATGACTGGAACAGCCCTTGTCTTGACTGTCGAGGAACAGTTTTTTGTTTTTGTTTTTTTTTCTTAATGGAGAATGGAACTGGGAATAGGAGAGGGAAGAGGAGGTGGGGTGGGAGTGGGGATGGGAGGGTGGGTATGATGGGAAGAATCACTGTATTCCTAAAGTTGTACTTACAAAATTTGTAATCATTAAAAAATGGTATCTTTGGGGAAAAATAAAAATTTAAAAATTCAAATAGATTAAATATTGAAAAAGATCACCCACCTCTCATTCCCTTCATACTCTCAAAGTAGCTGCATCATAATTTTTGTTAGATTGACATTGAGAATTTATGTAATTCTGATCATGTAGCTCAGATCATGTAGCTGAGTTAAATAGTGTACTAAGATTATTTTACCTTTTTTCTTTTTAAACCTAGAGTTAATGCTTTTCTTCCATTGCCTATTTGGTATTTGTTTCTTTCTATGGTGACTCTCTTCTCTTTAGGCCATGAGAGCCTCAAGCAAGGACTATGTAGCATGTATTTATTTCTGTATTCCCAGACTAGCAAAATGGCTGGCAAAAAAAAAATTGAACATAAGTGTGGGTGATTGACTTAGTGATTTGATGCTCCACTTGTGTATCTCAGGGTAGACACTGCTGGTTTTTGAGATACATGTCTGTGTAGGACGGGACTATCCAGCATGCTAGAAGATTAGGGTCTCTGGCCCCTGACCACCCAAACCCACCAACTTCAGCCACTTCAGTACCCTTCCCAGCACCCCTCATAGTAGAGGTATCACCCATGGTTGAGAGCAACAGCATCAATGGAAGAAATGGTAGCACCCAGATGCGACAGTGAGTTTGGCTGATGCTAGAAACAGCAGAAATCTAGCAGTGAGATGAGAAGGAGAACTGATAACTGCTCCTCCTTGAGGAAAGATGTTCAGGTCTAGGATGGGGCAAAGGTTTGGATGTGACTCCAGACCAAAGAGACAAAACAGGCCCGAGCAGGAAACAGTCACTTGAGAAAGGATACGTGTCATGCTCAGTAGACTACTTTTCAGATTGCTATCTGTCCTACACCTTACCTTGGAAAATGTCACTTATTATAACTGTATAGCTTGAGTGGTTTCTGACCCATGCAACCGATGTATATGTTTATTTGTATTCCCAGACTAGCATAGTTGACTATAACTCCATGATTAGAGCTACCAGCAGAGTCTGATGTCTGATCTAATGCCAGATGTTAAAGTCAAGGAAAAAGAGCTGGAGTCAGACAGGAGAAGGAGGTCCATCCATCTTGGTGAACTTACCTTGATAATGCCAGAGAAAATCTATCCCTTTTGTGAAGCTTGGGAGCTATAGAATGGTAGGAGACATCCAGGGAACATGGCCTTGCCAGGCGAGGGACAGTGGGGGGCGGTAGCTGCTGAGAGCGTGGGTCAGTCTGACACAGGGCATCTAATTCATTTCACCTTGCTCGACTTGGCTGATAATTTCATCTTTCAGCCCAAAGTGGAAAAGACCTGGGGAACTTCTGTTCTGGACCTAATTCTGACCAACTAGGAAAAATTGCTTGGCAAATTGGATGTGACAGGAACCTTGAGAGACAGCAACAACGTTCTCCTAGGGTTTGGAAAAACAAAAAGATCAGAGACTGGGCCGTTATAATCCTAAACCAGTGGCTGTTCACACACTTACTCAGCACAGGCTTGGGGCCCGGCAGCAGTGTTGGGGCTGAGACTATACCAGGACCAAGGCAACATCCCTGCCCTCAGAAGGCATCTACTTTCCAGTAAACATACAGGTGAATAAGATCGTTCTAGATTGGCTTAAAATGCTGCACAAACACTGAGACAGGGAGTGCAGGAAACAGGGAGATAGGTTGAGTCTACATCAAGTCCTCCCTGGGTGTGCTTATTGACACTGACACTCATGGAATGAGAAAGAACCAGCCACAAGGACAGCAAGTCATGGAAGGCTCAGCAGATGTCAACTGATAGCTTGGTGTGACCAAGGGCACAATAGTGGCAGGAAATTTTCCCAAGAGTAAAGGTGGCTTTGTGAAAGGAGTTTTTTCTGTTATAGTGTTGTCACAGTTGAACTTGTATAGTTAATTTGGTGATCTTGGGAAAAATTCCAGGATAGATTAAAAAAAAAAAAAGCTCTTAAACATCTATACAAAAATTGATGGTTAGTTGTGCGCAGTTTATGACCCAACCAACATAACTAGCTCCTCCTCTCCACATTGTTTTGGGAGTAAGATTTAATAGAATAATAGAGCAGGAAGAAACAGACACTGGGTATTTTTATTTCAGCACAGTATTCAATGAGGTGACTCACATGGTTTTCATGAACAAATTAGAAAATTGAAGGTCAGAGTGTTGATTATTTACCTAAACGACTGGGTCCAAAAAAGTGGACTAGAGAGGAAGGTGCAAACATGATCTATGTCTCCAGGAGCTCAAGCTGGAGGCAAAGGTCGAACACGATGGGAAAGTAGATTTTACCTCAGTCTAAGGCAGATCTTTCTAAGAATAGGAGATGTCCTGAAGCTGCTTTGGAATTAGGACACAGATGAGCCAAATTGGTGCAACAGATGGTGAATGTTTGGGGGGCTGGTCTCATCCGCCATGATAATCTAGGATTATCTGATTCAGGAGAAGTAACTGAGCAATTGTGTTGCTTATGCACCATTTTCTCTCTTTGGTTTAATAACGATGTCTCTCTGTAATAAAGACTATGTCAGTGGCCCAGGTGGGAAGATTCAGTCTTCACTCCTCCCTCTTCTCTAGCCCCAACACCTCATTCCCACTGCCAGAACTATTGTAGCGGCCTCCTTACCTCTTTGTGTGTGGCCAGGCTAAAATGGCACTTCTCAAAATTGAAATAGTGTCAAAGCCCTCTACTAAAATCTAGCTCCTCTTCTTCAAAAATGTTCTCAATAGTCTTTGGACTGTCTCCAAGGCTCCAAACCCACTTCCCGCATGTCTACACTGCTCCATATAAGCCGTGCTCAAGTGTGGTCTCTAGGGCGTTCTCCAGTGCTTCATTCTCTAAGAAACCTCCTTGTTTCCATGATCAGGAATAATTAATCCTCCCCCTTCATTCCCACATAATAGCCCCACTAAATAAATCATGCATTCATTTTTATTTCATTCATGCTTTTTTCATTCTTCATGCATTTGCTAGTAGTACCTATTATGGACGATCTCTCTGATAGGTATGGCAGGGGTGAGCAAAGTAAAAGGACCACTAAATAATTATATGGCAGGTGTGACAATACATGTTTTATGGTCATTATCTCAACCTCCAATCAACCCTGTGAGGTGCTGAGTATTATCCTGATTTTGAAGATGAGGAAATGGGGTTAAAGATGTTAACCCTGTTACCCCAACCAAGATCATTCAGTAGCCAAGAACCTGGACTGAAATCCACACCTGGATAGTCTGACTCCAGAGTTCAATTTTCCAGTCTCTGTGCTAGACTTTCTCCTACTGCAGATGAAGGGGGAACAGACAAAATCTTGCTCTCTTAGAGCTCAACGTTGGTGCTTCTGGGTGTTGAATATGTACTTACTGTTCATGTATTTTGGCCTGGGTCCATTTTTGGCTATTTTCTTGCTTATCCCATCTGTTGGATCATAAGCGGTTTGGGACAGAGAGACCACCACACCACTTCATCTACCCCACTCCAGCCACAGTCATTCCTATTGTGTTGCAGATGAAGTTACTACGTCATTAGATGTGTCAGACCACCAAGTCTCCTTGGGTAATAGGGCTTAATTACATCTATCTCTGAGCCCTGCACAAGACATTGACAAGCTGGTTCACAGTCACCAAGAAAGTGGAGGGGGCTGTTTTGAATCCTATTTATAAACACTGCCTTCTTTGGCATTTATTTGGAACATATTAAAATAACCCGTGAAAGTGTTAGAAGATCTTTCTGTTCCCCATCTTATAAATGATTATTTCAGTCTTGAAAAAAACCAATTTTTTTCCTTCTGCATGTAGCAAAGGGTTTATAGACTGACAATCAGAGAATTTGACGAATGCACATTACGTTGGTTAAAAATAGCATTAAGAAATAAAGGTTTCCAGAGTCAAGTGGGCACAGTGGAGTGAAGACTCATGCCACTGTGCCCTGTGGCTACCGAAGGCTCACAATGATGGAGAGCCTGCTGTATGTGTGGTGCTGTTGTAGAAGCTGTACATAGATGAGCTCATGGTATGGTCAAGGGATGCAGAGGAATTGAGTGGCTGAACTACAGGTTTCTCTGTTTTTTTCCACACCCTGCCAGTGTTATGCCTGACTTCTCCATGATCCAGCTTTCCAGAGGACAGTGTCTGCCGGAGTTCCATACCCTGGAGTCTGGCAGGTTCTTAGGCATAGAGCAAAGCTTCCCTACCCAGGCAGTGGGGCTCCTTCCCTGTGGCTCACCTGTGAACTCGGGGACCTTGCTTGCCCTAAGACCAACATGTTTGTGACTGCTTGGAGGTGGTTTGTCCTGCAAGGGTTCAAATGTTGGAAGCTTGGTCCCCACTGTGGTGGCATTGAGGGGGGTGGGGCCTTCAAGAGGTGAGAACCAGTGGGAAGTAAAGAGGTCACTGAGGACACTGCCCTTGGAAGACTGATGTAGTTCCCATGGGACTACAATCCTCTCGAGAGGATTGTCATAAAAAAGCAAGCCTGGCTCCACCCCATGCTCCAGCTTACTGTCTCCCTACTGGGTTCTGTCCCTCTCCTGTGCCCACTCACCATTACGATACCATCTGCTTTGAGGGCTTCACCAGAGCCAAGCTGAAGCCAGCACCATGCACTTGAACCTCCTGTGCTGTGAGCTAAATAAATCTTTCTTTGTAAAGTACCCAACCTCGGGTGTTTCACCATAGTAATAGAAAGAGGACCCACACAATATTCTTCCACGGTTGACCCAGGAGAAATTCTAAATTAAGCGGAGTATTCCCCCTATAGAATAAAATAAGTGGGGGCTGGTTATTGAGCACAGAACCATAGCATGGAGTTAACTGGTTGGAATACTCAATGGCCTCATGCCAAGATGACCACAATGGGATAGTCTTGTCCATGGACCCAAATTCTTCAGGTCTGTGGTAAGACTTTGTCTGAACTTACTGGAAGAGGCACTGCCTCTGGTCCTCCAGTTTCCCATAAAGTCCCCTGTGGTTGCACTGTCATACTCTTTGGATGTATTTAATACTTCTGATCAAAGCTATGCTCAGCCTGGGTTCTTCTGTGTCAGTTTAATGTGACCTTGCTTGTCTTTGCTTTGATCTGCGTCACTCTGACTTGACATGATTTTCATCTTAGTCCTCTTATAAAAATTGTCTCCTCCCCATGCCCCTACCCCCAGCATATGAATTATAGTTTATGCCCAGTCTATAAGCAAGAAGGTACAGATCCACGTCTTCTGACTTCACACCTGGCATTCCTGCCCTGCCCCTGCCACACCCCCACCCCCACCCCATCAGCATCAAAGGGCTGTTCAGAGTGTTCTCACTTGGGCCATTTGATTGTAGTTTGCACATATCATAAACATCTCCAGGTGATCTTGTGGATACCCTTGGAGTCCTCATGCAGGCTGTGCCCAGCCCTTACTGCTGCCCGGCTGCTCTGGTTCTTTGCACGCCTACTGGAGCAGCCTCTGAGCTGGCCCCTTTCTTTCTTCTGCAATCAGCTGCTGGTTTTCAGGTAAGGTGCCTGCCTGCATCTTGCAATTTCTCCAGGCTTGGCCCTGGGATGCTCCTTGCTTGGCCACATTTTTTCCTGTAGACACAAAGCCATCTTGCTCACTGCCCCTGACAGTGCTTAAAGCCGCCTCTCCTGAGACCATCTCCACGCTGTCATCTCATCTCCAATGCATTGCCTTCGTTTTCATCCCTCTGTCTTCCTCCCTCGACACAGACCATTTCTCCCAAGACACCAGGTTGTCTGGAAGCCCCCTTTCTCCTGTGCAATCTGCACCTTCCTTTGCTCTGCCTGCTCCTCCCCTCTTTATCTGGGAGCACATCCCATTTATTATTAAATTTCATTTCCACAGACCTCAGGCCCCCGAATGTGATTTCCTGGCTTTCAGCTGGTTGGTTACTTCTGTTCTGCCCCCAACTGCAAGCAGACGTTAGTAATCAACACAGAGCTTCTCTGATAATCAAACTAGACAGGTGGGGCTCTGCCTTTATTTTCCTCTTAATCACTAGGTGTGATAGTAATAATGTCAGCTTGAATAATCTGGCAGCATAGACCTCTATCCATGTTGGTATTTTTTCCCCCAGATCTACTTCAGTCTCACCTCATGGCCGAAGAATGCCAATGAGGTCCTCACCCAAAATGGGCTTAGAATCTTGATTATGGACAATGCCAATTGCTTCGAGCCTGGGTGAAGCTCATAATTGGACGGCAGTGTATCATGCGGGGATTTTTGTTTTAATCCTTAACCCTAGCTGGTAATGACTTTATGCCCTGCAGCTAGAGACTTGATAGCCCTTGACTTTTTTCCCCTGCCTTCAGGAGAGAGCCTACAGCTGTCACTATGCCCTTTGCTAGTGGGTGGAGCAGCCCAGCCTGGATTAAAAGGGGAGCTGGCTGCCACGGGTGGTGACTCCTTAGGTGACCTTGGCCAAGTCACTTTTCTCAGCAGTAAGATGAGACCTCTGGTCTCCAGCTCTCTCCGCTGGGATGTGGAGGGACAATGGGATCGTGTTTCTGCAGCCCTTGAACGCACTTCGCGTGAGGAGGTTATACAGACAGTGAAGTGTGCGTAGAAATGCCAGGATAAATGCAGGGCGAAATGAACAAAGTGAGACCTGGAAGATGAGGTGGGACCCCTTGGGCCTTCCGGTAGTGAGTACAGAACTCTGGCTTCCTGTTGTGAAGGTAAACCCAACTGGAGGCCTGGGACAACCACAGCTCCACTGAAGTGCCTGGGAAATGGGCGCCAGAACCCAGGATGGGATCGGAGCGTGCTCGTAATAGCATTGCATTACATGAACACAGACATGGTGGAGCCGAGATGGCATTAGACTTGCAGGAGAAATATATATTGGTGTTGGACAAACCATTTAACCTAAATGCTATTTCCCTCCTGTAACATGGGGATAATTGTTCTCCAGCGCAGGGTTATTCCCAGGATATGCAAGAGAGGAAGAATGATACTTATGAAAACAGTGTTTTCAAAACCAGATTTACAGAAAAAAAGGAAAAGTTCTGATGCACTGCATTTGTCAATTTCTATGGTGTAAGTGCTTACCTCATGACAAATTTTGGCTATTAATGGTTTGACCATTGGCTGGCATGATTTATGAATATATATTTTTTAAGATTTTAGTTTTATTTATTTGAGAGGTAGAGTTACGGACAGAGAAAGGGAGAGACAGAGAGAAAGGTCTTCCATCCACTGGTTCACTACCCAGATGGCCGCAATGGCCGGAGTTGAACCGCTCTGAAGCCAGGAGCCAGAAGCTTCCTTGGAGTTTCCCAAGCCGGTGCAGGGGCCCAAGCACTTGGGCCCTCTTCTACTGCTTTCCAAGGCCATAGCAAAGAGCTGGATTGGAAGAGGAGCAGCTAGATCATGAAATGGAACCCATGTGGGATGCTGGCGCCGCAGGTGGAGGCTTAGCCCACTATGCCAGTGTTGGCCCTGTGGATTCCTATTTAGCAATTTTGTCTTGAAAGCCAGCATGAGCTGGCCCCAGCACACATAGACAACCCTTAGTAAGTGCTTTCCATGCCTCAGATGTTTCGTTTTGTCTTAACTGCTACACTAGCAGGTAGTTATAATTAACCCCAATCTGCAGATGGGGAAATTGAGGTTGTGAGACAGGAAGAATAAAGTCTTGAGGTAAGTAGCAGAGACAGGATTTGAACCCAGGTTTGCCTAACTTTAGAATCTGTGCTCATGCCTGCATGCCAAACTCCATAGCATGAGAGTCCATGATTGAGAGCAGACAAACTGAAACACAGCACAAAGCCGGAGTGAACAACTCCCTGACCTGAGGGCAGTAGGCTGGCTTCTCACCTCACCGCTCCTGTTTCCTGGGTTTTTCCTGGGCCCTTCAGAGCTGAAAGGAATGTGGACCCACCCCATGGCTTCCTCCTGGTCAACAAGCCCTCCGATGGAAGGAGAGCTTCTGCTTTCTCGCCTCTGCGGGGCAGCCGCCCTCAATTGTGCCAAAGAAGTGCAGTGCAACAGCCATTCTGGGAGGCTACTAGAATTAGTCATGGGAAACGAGGAAAGCCAGCATTTGGTCAAATTCCAGTGCACTGTGCTATCCCCCAAAGGGGAACAAGAACATTCCTTCCGAGACGGTGCACATTTTTGCACACTGGGGCCTGGCTCAGCTGTGGGACAGAACTCCACGGAGGGCTCAGTATTTACTCTCCCTGCAGCTTTTGCCTCTTGTTCTCCCGCCCCTGCACGCATTACCTTTGCAGCCAGCCAGCCAGCCACAGACAGACCTCAGCTCCACGGAGTCATGATCTCCGACCTCCTGGGCCTCTCAGATTCTCAGAAGTCTGTCCTTGGGGTCCAGGCCAGCAGCCTCTTCTGTTTCCCAAAGGGGCTGCTCCAAAGTTCTTCCACTCTCCTCAAGACTTCACCTCCTGCTTTGCCAGGAAAAGAGAAGATGGAATATCTCCGACAATCTGCTTCTGTCATCAAATAAAACTTTATCAGACTTCTTAGCCTTTCTCTATAGTTTCCCCCGAGTCAGTTAACCTGTTTCAGGCAGTTTTCTCCATGAGTGCCCACTTGGGGACCCTTCTCCAGGGACCACCAAACAGCCCACCTTCTCTCCTCCTAGCTTTCAATCTCTCCCTCTCCTCCTCCTCTTCCTCCTTAGCATGCAAGTTTATTCAGTGTCTTTCCACTTGAAAAAAAAAAATCAGTTCAGTCTGATGTTTTATTCTAGCTACTCCCTTTCTATTTTTCCTTCAGAACCAAACTTTCGACAAGTGTTATCTAATCTCTCAGGATTTCAACTCAATGCAGTTGCCTGCAAAGTCCATCTTAAACATTCAAGTGGCCAAACCTGGTGGGTACACCTCATGCTATAGATTACTCGGCTTCTCTGTAGCAATGGGCAGTGCTGGCCACACACTCCTAGGAAGTGTCTGTTCCACTGTCATCGGTGACCTCCTCTGTCCTAGTTGTCCTTTTTCTCCGTGCATTTCTTCTCGGGGGTGGTGGGCTTCTCTTCTACCCAACATCTGAATGTTGGTTTCCTTAGGTGGATCTTTGATTTCCTCCTTTCTTCTAACACATTTCCTAAGGAACTTCATTCTCTCTAATCCATGTGCTGATGACTCTCAAAATTTCATCTTCAACCTTGACCATGGACACATATGCACATCCTTATGGGACATTCCCATACACTTCACAATTTCAGCATGCGTGCAATGGAGCGCACACTTCTTCCACTGACTCCTCCCCCTGGGCTTCTCACTTCATTGACTGACAGCACCATGGACTTGGTGTCCTCTGTCCCCTGGGTATTGCACGTGACTCCCACGCTTTCCAAACTCCCCACTTCTAGTTGTTCAGAAGACTGCTGTAGAGTGGTGATCTGTGTCACTGTTGGCTGTCACCTTCAGATCCCACTTTCCTTTTTGGGAGATTCCCATGGCGGTGGGCAGCAGGGCCCTGTCTGCCTATGACAAGAGCTGAAATAGGATGGATCTTCTGTCTCTCACCTTCCTGGCAGCCAGAGCCCAGGCATATGACTTCAAATCTGTCAACTGGACTTACTTCATTTATTTTCAGTGGGTTATGATGAGTATTTTTAATAGGCTATATTTTTAGAACAGTTTTAGAATTACAGGAAAACTGAGAATTTAGTACATAGAGTTCTCCCGTAGCCTCTTACCCGTGCATATGATTTCCCTTCTTATTAATGTTTCATATGCCTTGGTTACAATTGTTGAATCAATATTGATATGTTATTTTTCACTAAAGCCCATCCTTTATTCAGATGTCCTTAGTTTTTACTCCATGTCTACTTCTGTCCCAGGATCACATCCAGGATACCACATTAATTTAGTTCTCATGAAGCCTTAGGCTCCCTTTGGCTGTGATGATTTCACACACTTTTTCTCTTTGTGATGTCCTTGGCAGTTTTGAGGAGTACTGGTCAAGTACATGGTAGGATTCCCCTCTACTGGAGCTTTTCTCCTGATTAAACTAGGTTATAGGCATTTGGGAAGAAACAACAGGTATGCCATTTTCAGCATAACAAGTCAAGGACACATGCTCTCAGCTTGATTTATGACTACTGGTGTTGACCTTGATCACCTGGCAGAGGCCTGTTTGTCAGGTTTCTCGACCATAAAGTTATTCATTATCCATGATGTTTCCAGGCATAGCCCGCACTCAAGGAGTGGGGAGTTAGGGTCCCCTATTTTCCTGACTCTTTCAAATGATACGAAGAAGCAGGAAATGTGGGGATTCATTTTGGCAATGACCCCAACAGTGTGCAGATTCCAGGGTTAGGTGGTGGAGATGGTGCCAGTGGCAGCCTCTGGCGACCAGTGCGCAGTATCTTGTCAATGGATGATGACAGCCGTGTGTTTCACTTCAGGCAGCTCCTGTTCCTGACTATTGTGGCTGCTAAGTCATCCTTGGCTCCTGCCAGCTTTCAGGACCCATTCTCTGGTCTTCCCAGTGATTTGTAAACACCCAGTGCCCCTTTCCCTAAATACTTCTGCTTAAGTCAGAGTTCATCTCTCTTGTCTGCAATTGAGAACCCAGATTGATAAGTCCTCTTGATTCCACTTCTAACATACCTCTTAACTCTGATACATTTTTTCTCTAATCCTATAGGGGAGACTGCCCTATGTACCCCGGTGTCCAGTCCCCTTATCTGCCTGTGGGTAGCAGAATGTCCTGAGTTTTAGCTGGGCACAGGACATCCAGCTAAGGTTTACATTTACTTGTGTTGCTTGAAGCTAGGATTGAGCAGAAGTGGTAGCAACAACTGTGTCTCTAAGACTAATTTGCTTGCTGCTGTGGGTTTGGTTCCCCCTTGGTGATGAATGGGATATGGCGACTATCACAGTGGCTGCCTTGGATGACAGCCATGTGTGGGGGATGCAACCAGCTGGACCTCTGGATGGTTTTGTGAAGCAGAGAAATCTGCCTACCCTCAGTCACCCACCTAGCTTTGGCCTGGACTGAAAGAGATCCATTTGTATCTCATTTAAGCCACTGTATTTTGACCCCTTTTGTTACAACAGCTTAGCCTACCCCCAACCCAATCCCCAATGCCACCTCATTAGTCACATCAGTACACTGGGCCTCCTCACCTCTCACCAGAACTGCTCAACAGCTCCCTGAGTGATCTCTGGAGCTGTAGTATTTCTGCACATACCAATGCATCCTGTCCATTTCTTGCTGAGGAGATACATCTAGAAGTCGAATCTACTTTGAAAACCTCCTCCACCTGCCTAGCTAACTCCTGCTCCTTTCTCAAGGCTCAACTTTAGTGTGACTCCACTCGGAAGCCTCCTCTGGTCTGCTCCACACCCCAGGCTGTGTCTTAGCTCCTTTGTTTATACCCCACTGCATACTATTGAGGCCCAAATAGCATTCACTAATTGGTTTATAATTATTTATTTGCCTGTTAGACTGAGCTGCTCTCAGAGCTTGAGAAACCAACAGTTATCATTGCCAGCCCCACATTTCTCCCAGCCAGAGGCCGTTCCCCAGTTTTGGAGCCATGCTTCTGCACAAGGACTTTGCCCATAAGAAAGGGGAGAGTTCATGCTGACTGCCAAGGTCAATTTTACTCTCTGTCCCAGTGATATCCAGACCCCAGTTCAAACTTCCCTTCTCCCAAAAGCCCATCTTCTCAGTTTGGGCAAAGCATCAGAGGTAGAGTAACTTGCCAAGTCACCATCTCATGGACTGAGATTTTATTGCTTGGTGTCTAGCAGTTGCCAACAGCAGAATCTTGAGTGTGTAGGTGGCAACCAGCATGAAGCCTAGACAGTGGTGAAATGTGGTCACTGGCCAAAAAGTCAGGTACAGAGAGCAGAGAAAGAAGCAAGACAGAATGGCTTGTCCAGCGTGGTCTCTGCAGCTCACTGTGCTGGCCTATGAGCTCAGAGTTGGCTGTACAAAACAGACAGAGGGCCAGGTTTGGCCCATGGAGTGGTTTGCTGGCCCTTGCTCTACAATCAACAAAACAATAAATCAAGCCCTGGTTTGTAATGTTTGCCAATCTCTGTAGAGCAAATACTACCACCGTAGCCAACCTCAAGCTACCAACATGCCATCACTGGATGTTAGGTTGGGAAGTCATGCAGAAGCCCACTCTTAGGTAGCGTTGTCACCACAATGATACATGGGGCATCACCTGAAGAGCATTGCTAAGAGTATGATGCAGTAATGTAATTAGGAAGTGGTAATTTTTGATATTTATTACCTTTGTTTTCAACATGACTTATCTACTTGTAAGATTATATAATTTAATATCTTGTAAAAATCTCTACAATTTTAAGTATGTTTGCTTACAGGGGGTTGCCAATGCCCTTGGTCCATCTGACTACACTAACCATATGGAAGGGGAGAGAGAAAAGCCAACTCCAGAGAGAGATCTGTGAATCAGCTCTGGACATAGGAGTGTTAACCTCTTCCACTCTTCCTACCAAAGATTTCATATTCTAGACTATGTCCTACTGTGTTCTTAGTCTAACAAGAGTTAAATTTTCTCTTCCTTGGAATGGAAGAAGAGGGGCTTTTGAGCACCCCCTAGTGCTTAAAGTGTGTGGATAACATGAAATGCATATCATATTCCTTTGTGTTCCACTCCACTCCTACTAAGTGCTGTTGGTTGTGTGTCCACTATGTGCCAGATACTCTTGGAAATATTCTACATTACTCTTACCTAATCTTTACAAAAAGCTTTTAAGTAAGCACTGTTGTCTAAATTTTATAGAAAACTGAGGCTCAGAAAGGTTAGGCAACTAATCCAGGGGTGCACAGTTAGGACACATCAGAGTTAGCATTCAAATCTCAAATCTGGCTTCCTGTCAACCTTTGTGTTGGCTTTTATGCCACTTCCTTTTTTTAAAATTTTTCTTTAGCAAAGACATTTATTGGAAAGGAAAGGTAAGAAGCTGTCATGAATGTAACTAGGAAGGGAGATAGAGATCCACTACTTTCTTGTACTAATGGTTTTTTTTAAAACATAATTTTTCATTTGTATAAACTGAACAAATTTCATGTATTTCATATATATAGATTTAGGAGTATAGTAATGCTTCCCACCCTACCCTCTCCCCCACATTCTCACTCTTCCTTCTACTTCCTTCCTCATTCTTTGTTTTAATTTTTACAATGGCATACTTTCAGTTTATTTTATGATCATAAGCTTAACCCTCCACTAAATTCAACAAATAGTAAGAATTCAATAAATAGTAAGAAGAAAAAAAAAACACTGTTCTTCAACAGTAGAGACAAGGGCTATAAACAACAATCAAATCTCAAAATATCAATTTCACTCCTACACATTACATTTTAGGTACTCTATTAGTTACCACAGACCAGGGAAAACATACGATACTTGTCTTTTTGGGATTGGCTTATTTCACTAAGTATAATGGTTTCCAGTTGCATCCATTTTGTTGTAAAAGAAAGCAATTCATTCTTTTTTTATGGCTGAATAGTATTCCATAGTGCATATATATACTACATTTTCTTTATCCAGTCATTGGTTGATGGACATCTGGATTGATTCCATATCTTAACTATTGTGAGTTGAACTGCAACAAACATGGAGGGATATAGATAATTCTTTCAAGTGCTGATTTCATTTAATTTGGGTAAATATCCAGGAGTGGGATGGCTGGGTTACATGGTAGGTCTATTTTAGGCTTTCTGAGGAATCTCCATTCTGTCTTCTACAGTGGCTATACTAGTTTACATTCCCACCAACAGTGGATTAGGGAATGTCTCCCCACTCCCCACTCCTCCACCCGCATCCTTACCAGCATTTGTTGTTTGTTGATTTCTGTATGAAAGCCATTATAACTGGGGTGAGGTGAAACCTCATTGTGGTTTTGATTTGCATTTCCCTGAAGGCTAGTGATGCTGAGCATTTTTTCACATGTCTGTTGGCCATTTGAACTTCCTCTTCTGAAAAATGCCTACTTAAGTCCTATTGCTTATCTGGATTGTTTGTTTTGATGTTGTTAAGTTTCTTGAGCTCTTTATATAATGTGGATATTAATTCTTTATCAGTTGCATAGTTTGCAAATATTTTCTTGCATCCTGTTGGTTGCCTCTTTGTTGAGCATTTCCTTCACAATGTAGAAGTTTCTTAGCTTCATATATTCCTATTTATCTATTTTTGCTTTATTACCTGTGCTTCTTGGCTTTTCCCCATAGTCTTGCAGAATTTCCCCAATGTTCTCCTCTAGTAATTTGATGATATCAGGTTGCAGATTTAGATTACTGATCCATTTTGAGTTGATTTTTGTATAAGATGTAAGGTAGTAGTCTTGTTTCATATTTCTGCATGTGGAGACCCAATTTTCCCACCACAATTTATTGAAGAACCTCTTTCTCTGAGGGTTGATTTCAGCTCCTTTATCAAAGATTAGTTATGTGTGGATTGATTTCTGGTGTTTCTATTCCATGTTTTATGTCTTCTATTTCTTTCTTTAATGTTTTATAATTTTCATCATGGAGAGTTTTCACCTTCTTGGTTAAATTTATTAGGCCATGTATATTCAATGTTATCATTGATAAGTAATGACTTGGCCCTGCCATTTTCCCATAAATATTCCCATTGTTTACTTTGGATTTCCTTTGTACTTTTACTGGGAGAGTTTCTGCCTTCACCTTCTTTCATAGTGATAACCATTTTTCTGTGTTTCTGTGTGTAGCACATTCTTAAGCATCTTTTGTAAGGCTGAACAAGTGACTAATTCTTTCAATTTCTGTTTGTTTTGGAAGGTCTTTATTTTACCTTCATTTATAAATTAAAACTTTGATGGATATAGTATTCTGGATTGACAGTTCCTTTTTTATTAATTAAAAAATTAATTTAAAAAATTAATTAATTTTTAAGGAATGCAAATTTCATAAGTACAACTTTAGGAATATAGTTATTCTTCCCACCATACCCACCCTCCAACCCACACTCCGACCCCACTTCCTCCTCTCTCTCCCTTTGCCTGTCCCATTCTCCATTAAGATTCATTTTCAATTAACTTTGTACACAGAAGACCAACTCTATACTAAGTAAAGATTTCAACATTTTGCACATATGCACACACAGACAAACTGAGAAAAAGTTTTTTAGTTAACTCTCATGATAAAACTCATTGAGGACAGAGGTTCTGCTTGGGGATTAGTACATGGTGACTCCTGTTGTTAATTTAACAATAAATACTCTTATGTATGAAGTCAGTAACCACCCAAAGCTCTTGACATGAGCTTCCTAGGCTATGGAAGCCTTTTGAATTCACAAATTCTGGCAGTATTTAGACAAGGCCATAGCAAAGTGGAAGTTCTCTCCTCCCTTCTTTGATGGCCACTTCTTTCCTATGGGCTCTCACTCACAGAGAGCCTTCATGTAGAACATTTTTTTGCCACAATGTCTTGGCTTTTCATGCCTGAAATGCTCTCACAGGCTTTTCAGCTGACCAGGAAACCTTAAGGGCTGATTCTGAGGTCAGAGTGTTACTTAAAGCTATTGTCATTCTATGAGTCTGCTGTGTGGACTGCTTTGCATGTTAGACATTCTCTCCTTCTTAATTCTATATACTATTATTACTAGACACTTGATCCTATTTATATGATCACTTTAACACTTAATCCTACCTATATGTTCACTTTAACATTTAATATAATCACTTTAATGCTAAAAAATGGCATTTTTACCAATCAACTTAATGGGATTTGGGGCCCAGTGACAAGTTTTTAAACTTTACCCTTAGAAGTAAGTTCATAGGTGTGTATGCACAACTATAGAGCTTTACAGTTATAAGACTTCCTCCTCCCTTTCTTATTCCCACTCTTGTTTTTTACTGAGATCTATTTCAATAAACTTTATACACATATGATTAACTCTATGTTAAGAGTTCAACAAATAGTATGAAGAAGAAGAAACAAAACTGTTCCTTAATAGTTAAGACAAGCGCAGTGCAAGGCATCCCTTCTCAAAGTGTCAATTCACTTCTACAGATTTCCTTTTAGGTGCTCTATTAATTATCACAGATAGGGAGAACATATGGTATTTGTCCCTTTGGGACTAGCTTATTTCACTAAGTATGATGTTTTCCAGATTCATCCATTTTTGTTGCAAATGACTGGATTTCATTTTTTTAACCATTGTGTAGTATTCCATAGTGTACATATCCCATAATTTCTTTATCCAGTCTTCGGTTGATGGGTATTTAGGTTGATTCCATGTCTTAGCTATTTGAATTGAGCTGCAATAAACATAGGAGACAGTTTCTTTCTTTAAGGACTTGGACTATATCTCTCCATTTTCTCCTAGCCTGTAGCATTTCTGATGAAAAGTCTCCTGTTAGTCTAATTGAGGTTCCTCTGAAAGTAATCTGGCATTTCTCTCATGCACATTTTATAATATTTTCTTCGTGTTTTATTATTTAAAGTTTGACTATAATGTGTAATGGTGAAGATTTTTTCTTTTTTTGTTTTGAAGATTTATTTATTTATTTGAAAGTCAGAGTTACACAGAGAGAGGAGAGGCAGAGAGAGAGAGAGGTCTTCCATCTGATGGTTCACTCCCCACTTGGCCACAACAACCAGAGTTGTGCTGATCTGAAGCCAGGAGCCAGGAGCCTCTTCCAGGTCTCCCACACAGGTACAGGGGCCCAAGGACCTGGGCCATCCTCTACTGCTTTCCCAGGCCACAGCAGAGAGCTGGATAAGAAGTGGAGCAGCTGGGTCTTGAACTAGCACCCTATGGGATGCCGGCACCCCAGGCCAGGGCATTAACCCGCTGCACCACAGAGCCAGCCCTGAACTTTTTCTGATCATGTATACTAAGATTTCTATGTGCTTCCTGTACTAGGATGTCGCTTTCTTTCTCCAAATTGTGATATTTTATGCATTATTTTATTGAATAGGTCTTCTAATCCATTTTCTCTTCCCATGCCTTCAGGTACTCCTAAGACATATATGTTTGGTCATTTTTATAGTATCCCATAAATCCCAAACACTATTTTTAATTTTTCTAATTTTTTCCTCCTTGTTTTCATCTGACTGTAATATTTCCAAGGATTTGTCTTCTAGCTGGGATATTCTTTCTTATGCCTCACTAAGTCTGTTGTTAAAGATTTCCACTGTGTTTTCTATTTGATGTATTGAATTCTTCATTTCTCCAATATTCCAGTTTGATTTCTCTTCAATATCTAAATCTATCAGCAAAATTTCTCATCCATATCATGTATGGATTTCTGTATCTCATAAATTTTTTTATCTATGTTTATGAGTAATTTTATGATCATTCTTTTGAGCTCATTTTCAGGCATTTCATCAATCTCTTCATCTTCACATTCTAATATTGAAGTGTAGTGTGTTCCTTTTAGGGAGTCATGTTGCTTTCCTTGGTCTTATTTCCTTTCCTTTCCTTTCCTTTCCTTTCCTTTCCTTTCCTCTCTCTTTCTCTTTTTAAGATTTTATTTATTTGAGAGGTGGAGTTACAAACAGGGAGAGGGAGAGACAGAGAGAAAGGTCTTCCATCTGCTGGTTCAGTCCCCAGATGGCTGCAATGACTGGAGCTTAGGCAATCTGAAACCAGGAGCCAGGAATTTCTTCCAGGTCTCCCATGCAGTTGCAGGGGCCCAAGCACTTGGGCCATCTTCTACTGCTTTCCCAGGCCATTGCAGAGAGCTGGATCAGAAGAGCAGCCGGGACATGAACCAGCACCTATATGGGATTCCAGTGCTGCAGGCAGAAACTTAGCCCACTATGCCACAGTGCTGGGCTCTGATTCTTCTGTTTCTGCATTTATGTTTAGGGATTTTTGGAACCACTAGTTGGTTTTCTCCTCTGATGGATTTTAGCTTTGAAATATTCCTCTGTGGCTTAGTGGAGTGTCTGCTCCTTCAGTGGATACCCAGAGGCATGTGCTGGCTGGGGCAAAAACCCAGGGTGCCACCCAAGTTGGGCATGATAGATGTCCTCTGTTGTCAGCAGGGAAGAGGGTTCGATCATGCCCATTAGCATAATCACAGCCTCACCTCCTCTCTTCCAAGGTGATCAATGCCTGGCGTTAGCCCACAGAGGATACAGTCCCCACTCATGTAAGCACATGAACCACACAAAGGATCTGTGTGGTCTTCAGTGTGAGCATGTAACCCTTGGCCATGCTGCACCTCCGGCAGTCAGGGAGCTCTGAGCCTCTGATGCCAGACAGAGTCATTGCCCAGAAGCACAGTGATTGCCCATACATTGTCGTGCAGTCACAGAATCCTCACAGTCACAGCACACAAGGCTTCCATAGTTATGGGGTTCAGGGATCCACTCTCAGCCCCATGAGCCTGCCCTGTCCATGGAGAGAGCCTGTGGGTGCTCCGTCTTGGCAGTCTGTGCCCTGGGGCATGTGATAGGTTGAAGGGATGGGAGCATCTCACAGTCCTAAGTGGGTGCCCAGCTCCCTGCCTACCCTCCCAGCCAGACTCGAAGTCAATGGGAAATGCAGATTTTATTTTCCCCTCTAGTAAAATCCTCTGGTCCTGTGCATGCGTAAGAGCCACCACAGCCTCTACTGGCATCAAGATGTGCCTTATCCCCACCAGCTTCTGGATGCCTTGTAAGGGGATTGGGAGAAAGAAATGCGCTTTTCCTTCACTGAATTGGGAGGGTACCCTGCCCCCAGACTAGGACTCCAGGCCACATTCATAGTCAGTGTGGTCCACAGGTTCTTCCTCAGGCAATACCACCAGTGGCATGGGCTGCCAGAGTCTGCTCTCACCTTGCTCTCAGAAGCTGGTGTCTCCTCCAACCCCCAGCTGCGGGAGTCACGGGCATGTCCCCACTCACTGCCATGAGGCCACACTTTCCCTACTGCCCCAGTGGAGTTTCCTTTTTGTAGAATTTCTGCTGCAAATTTGCCTCTGACTCTCCACTTGGGAATGCACTTCCTCCACTTTTCTTCCGCAATCATCCCCTGGTCAAAATCAGCAGGACTTCTTATGTAGCCAACTTGGAATCCGCTCTCCTTTAATTCTTTGGTTCCAGTCCACCACCATCTCAGCAACACGGTGGAGACCCATGTGGCAAACACCTTGGAAGCTCTGGCCCTACGCTTCCCCCTGTGCGTCTCGGTTAAGTGGACAGGGGCTCTGAAGAATTCATGCATGAGAAATAAAAGCCATAAAAGGTCAGTTAAGAGAGCAGATGAAGCTCTGACATTTCCAAGATTCAGGAATAAGATGGACAAGTGGACAGATTTGGTAGGGCACAGGTGGGCCTTTGGCCTGTGGTGGCTGTGCTCTTATCACCTTGCACACCCTGATCTCCTAATTCCGCTTCCAAGATGAACTTACGGTCCAATTCCTGCCATTCCAGCTCACAGCGTAGGCAAGCTGGAACGTGTCCCTGATGCCTTGGCCTGTCATGTAGGAATGCTTTCCATGGCAGACTAAAGGGGGAGGAGATAGCGTTTTCAGTCCCTATTGCTGCTGTACCAAATGATCACAAACTTCATGGCTTGAAACTATGGTGCACAGATTTTGGGGTGTCCTATATTAAACAGCGCCTGTGTAGACTGTTTCCCATATGGGAGTGCCAGCTTGACTCCTGGCTCTTCTGCTTCTGATCCAGCTTCTTGCTAATGTACATGGGAAGGCAGTGGGTCTCAAGTACTTGAGACCCTTGCCACCTCATATGAGGTCCAGATGGGGTTCCTAGATCCTGACTTTAGCCATGTTGTGGGCATTTGGTAAGTGAACCAGTAGATGCACGGTCCCCCCTGCCCTTCTTTCTCTCTTCCTCTCTCACTCTGTCTCCCCTTCTCTCTGTGTCACTCTGGTTTCCAAATAGCTACTCTTAAGAATAAAACCACATAGATGTGTTATCTTTTAATTCTATAGGCCAGAAGTTTCCACAGGGCTAAAATTAAGGTGTCAGCAAGGCTGTGTGCTTTCATGGAATCTTACGAGGAACACCCACTTTCTTGCCTTTTCCAGCTCCCAGAGACCACCTGCATTCCTTGGCTCATGGGTCCTTTTTTCCATCCTCAAACTCAGCCTCACTGCATCTTTCTAAACTTTTTCCATAGTTACAGATCCCTCTTACCAGCTGGGACATATCCACCTCACCCCCACCTTTAAGGACTCATGAGAACAGAGTATGCCCACCCAGACAATCCAGAACAATCTCTCCATCTGCGAAGTCTCTTGCCATATAAGGTTTGCAGATCCATGCTTGAATATCTTCACAGTAGTGGTGGTGGTAGGGCAATTTCCTTCATATCACAGGAAATAAAAGCAAAGAATAGAACAATTGGTAAAGATACTGAAGATCAAAGTCAAGAACATTAGTGTTCTAAGTCCAAAGGACTAGGAATGAAAGATAGAGCCAAGAAATTTGGGCACTGGGTAGATACAAGAATAGAACAAAAGGTCAAGGTCAGAGCCCAAACCAGACAAATAATCTAAGATAATCGGAGGGCAGCATGGAGGTAGGGAATGGAGGGGATCCTGTGTTTAAAGGACACTGGATGGGCAAACCTTGTGTAAGATTAGAATCAGTGTAGACTTAAGGCTTGGCCATTTCTGATCACCACTTCAGTCAATTTTGGCCAAGTTGTATTGCCTTAAAGCATCCCCAAATCCTGACATGTTCATCATGAAGTGGCAATGAGGTTGGGGAGCTGTTGGGGTTGGAGAGGGAGTCTTTGATTATTGGATTACTAAGGGACCCAGGTTGATGGAACAGGCCCATCTTAGATATTGCTCATTACAGGGCCAGAGGGAAAGAGAGCTCTAAATGGTCATTCACTGGTAATTAAATGTGCTGGCCCAGAAGTGCCACCTTTTACTTATAGAACTCATTGCCCAGAGCTGGAATTAGTTATAAGGCTCCAGTTAAGCACATGGAAACCAGGGAGTGCAATCCTACTATGAATCCAGAAAAGGCTTTGGGGAGGACAGCAGTATCTAAACAGCAGCACTGATGGTTACTACAGCTTGAAAAACACACAGATAACTATGTGCAAAGGTAGAGAAAATGCCAAACTCCACTTGAGAGGAAGAAGTAAGTGAATTGGATGTTGAAGGAAAGGGAGAAAAAAAATAAGGGTCTCTGTGCCTTGGGAAGAAAGTATGTGGAGGCAGAAAAAAAAAAAAAAAAAACCCAACCACCACCAACAAAACAGGAGACGGGAATAGAGGGGTTGGGGCAGTGGTGGAACAGCAGGAGATGAGTGGGAATGTTAGCAGGGGCCAGGTGGTGCCAGACTTCTAATGCACTCTCAGGAATTTGGACTTGACTCTATGAATAATGGGAGAGAGTACTTTAAGTTTTAGGTAGGGATAAGACATGAGCAAATCTGCATTGTGAAAAGAAAGCTACAGTTGCAAGATTGAAGCATAGACTGGAGGGGCCAACCTTGAGAGCAGAGAAGATGATGAGAACTTGACCTAGGACATGGGCAAGGGAACAAAGAAGCAAGGCACTTCCTGGGAAGGACCAGGTTATGGCACAGAGTTCTGAAAAGAAGAGAGGGCAAATTGGCTGGTGATTGCTCCTGTGTTTCCCCTCTCTCCCCCTCTTGTTGTTCTTTGTCTTTTTGATCTTATTTTTTTTCTGGAATCTTTCCAGGTGTAAGTTCAACTCCAAAGAGATGGGCAAAATTAGAATAAGTACCTATGTGTACCCTCATCAACCTCAAACTCTTTATTCTTGGGCTCAACTGGCCCTGGTCTGTTCAGTTGGCATTCCTTTTTTCACCTCTGAACCCTGCCTAGCTGAGGAAGGAGGTAGATTAGAATCTTCAGGGAGACTTAAACTGCACTCCCTGACCCAGCATCTAGTGACTGGGCCCTCCCTGCTGGGGCCTGTGAGCACGTGACCAAACACTCATCATCTATGTTTTCTCAGCCCTCAGACTGGCCCTCCATCTTAATTACAGCTTTATGTGCATCCCCTACCTTCAAAGGGCTGGGATTCAGTCACCCAAGCCTGGATTCATGATTGTCATCGCCTGTCCCTCACTCCAGAGCACCAGTTCTCAAGGATGGTCTGTGAGTCTCAGAAGTGGGCCCCTGAAGCTCCCTCTAAGGTGTCCCCAAACTCAAAATTATTTTTGCAACAATACTCAGATATAATTTGCCTTTCCCCATTCTCATTAACTCCCACAGTGACATTTACCAGGGGGCTATTATAGTGAAATATGTTGCTATGTGTAACTCAGTACATCAGTATGTTCCAAATGACCAGTGCAAGATATTACAAAACAATACATGTGTGAAAGAGCCATTCAAACATAATATACAAATAATGTGAGTTTAATATTACTAGGTATGAGAAGTTGATATACATGCATATTCCATATTGCAACCCATCTGTAAGAAGCTCCCTCATAGGGGCTGACTTTGTGGCTCAGTGAGTTAGGTCACCACCTGCAATGCTGGCATCCCATATGAGTGCTGCTCTGTTTCCCATCCAGCTCCTTGCTAATGTGCCTAGGAAAGCAGCAGAGGGTGGCCCAAGTACTTGGACCCCTGCCCTCCACATGGGAGGACTGGGTGGAGTTCCAGCCTCCTGTTTTCAGCCTGGCCCTGGTGGTTGTGGCCATTTGGAGAATGAACTGGTCGATGGAAGGTCTCTCTCCCCTCTCTCTCATTCTCTGTCTGTATATCTGCCTTTCAAATAAATAAATAAATAAACCTTTTTTTTTCCAAAGAAGCTAGGTATAGTCGTAATGACGAATAACCACAGTTACCTGCGATTTGCACACAGGTAAAACAAGGCCTTTCTTGTCACTGAATTTTTTTGTTTGGGAAAATTTAGCTTTTTTTTTTTTAAGTAAAAGTACATTATCCATGTTAATGGGTTTATTATTGCTTTTAAATACATTCACGACCAAACATTTTTAAAATTTTCAGTTTAAGTCCTAATTAGTAAGTATGGACAGATATAACCCCCATAAACAAAACATGGCATTCTCAGTAATGTTTCCAAGTGCTAAGGGGTCCCGACACCTGAAGCCTTGAGACGCACAGCTCCGGAGTCTCGGCAGCCAGTTGAATTCCCGGCAACTGAGCCTGGCCTCGCCGACCAGAGCACTCCATTCTGGGACGACAGCTGTGCAACCCGTGCCTCCTGAGACACTGCAAGTTCCTACCCCTGCTGCCGTGCAGAGCTGACCCCACACATACTGACTCTGACCCCCAGCACTAGGGCACTATGGGTAAATGACTATTTACCCTCTGAACCTCATTTTCCGTGTTCAGACAATGGGGATTTAATACCCAGGAGGCCATTCTCCAGCCCCAGCTAGGAAACTGGCCCAGCTCCATTTCTAGCTGGTGAGCTCATTCTGTGCTTGGGACCCACTATGTTTTGCCATCATATGGCTGTCTTACAGCTAGAGAGATGACACATCTGACGTCCTTCAGAGCACCGGGAGTAACTTTCTTTGAAGAAACTGGAATATCCAGCCCTTTAGTTGTCTGCCGCTTTCCTGGCTGCCAGCACAGACTTAGACACTGGGCACTTGGGTGCTGAATGAGAGTCCTGTGTGCGTTCAGTTAACCATGGCTGATGGCGCCCCCTGGCCTTCTAAACAAGGCCAGTCTTGAGGACAAGCCTGCGAGCTGGCGATCACCCATCAGAGCCACAAAGACACACAGGAAAGTGTACCCAGAGTGTCAGTCCCCTGAGAACAGAGGCTGTGTGGTCTTGGGTACCTCTGAGTCCCCAGTGTCCAGAATGGATCTTGGCATCTAGTAGGTACTCAGTCTGTGCACCTTGTGTGAATACATGTAACACATAAGCACGTAGAGACAAGATGTGAATACAGCACCCATATTCAGGTGATGAGACTTCTACTCTTTTTTCTGTCTCTTTGGATTCTCCAATTTCTATAATAAGTAGGAATTTGTTACAACGGCGGCAAGTGAAATGCGCTTCTAAAAAGGGGTAGAGCTCATATTGTGACCTGACCACCTGCTCTCTGTGCAACCTGGGCTAAGTCTCTTTTCTCTGTTCATATTATAGATGATGATTCCCATCATCTATGATAGCAATACCCAGTTCATTTGGTTGCTATGAGGATTAAGTGAGACAATGCCAGTTAATGGCAAAGACTGGTGTTGCGGACATAGAAAGGGCTCAGTCAATATCAAATTGGTATTTTGCTATTTGCATCCTAGTCATGTTTTAACATTTCAGACCTGACATGAAAGGAAGAAGCATCTATGGGGTGGCAAAAGATGTGGATTGGAACAGGTTGACCTGCCACTTAGCAGCCAAGTGGCCTCATGCAGGGTCACTGTCTTCCCTGAGCCGCTGTCCCTTCTGTCTCACAGAGACTTTTGTGTGCAGCAAAATGACGTGATGATGTCAGGTGCTCTCCAGGTATGAGTCATTATTTTTATAACCTACGAAGTTAAAAAAAAAAAAAGTCGACTCTGGGGCCTTTCTCCTATCCTGAATGGGGTTACTGCTCTCCTCTGGCTTGCACAGAGAGTTCCTTGTCCCCAAAAGCCTCTGGGGCCTGGTCACGGGGCAGTGCCTGCAGCCAAGGGTGGCTTTTTTTTTTTTTTTTTTTTGCCACAGCCTGTGAGGCTCCTGCCTCCAGATAACCCAGGTCCTCCCCTTCCCCTGCCCCAGAGCTTCCCACACAGCTGCGGCCTCATTATCCAGGGTGACTGTGAGCAGCTGAAAGGAGCTTAGCCAGGGGTAGGCTTTCAAGTGTTCATAATAAAGCTTCAAAGTTCACACCTTCATTAAGACGGGAAGAGGCAGGTCCTCCCCCTCCTCCTGGGGCCATTGTTTCCTCCCCATCTGGCAGCAGATTCAAAAGACAAGCAGGATTGGTTTTCTTTGTCCAGACAGCTCTCCTAACCAGAAAGGCTAGACCTGTTTGTTAAGCAAACTTCTATCCTGCAGCCCCTTCAGACCTGCTCTGAAGGTGTCACTGACACTAGGGAATTGGGGCATGGCTCAGGGCTGGAGGGGCTGGAGGGGCTCTCCCGGGGTCGCAGGCCCGGACTTGCTTTGTGGGGTCCCAAGGGGGTAGAGCTAGGACCAGGGGTTGGAAGTAAAGGGTATTTGGTGTGTTGAGGTGCAGTGTGGTGATGTGCACCTCGTTAGGAAGGCATGTGAGAGCCGTGGCTCTCAATCAGGAAGCCACAGAAGAAGGTCCAGCTTTGGATGGCGGGTTAGAACCAGCAGATGGTTCAGGCCTCGCCAGCCCTGCCGTGCTGGGGCCTCTGGACCCCGTGAGCTGGGCTCCTGCAGGATCGGCCACCTCCCAGGTTTTCCCTGACAACTGCTTTTGTTGCCGCCCCCCCCCCCCCTCCACCCAGCCGTGACTGTCTCCATGGATGCGTGTTTGGCCCCCTCACCCTTTGTGTTTTCCTTTTAGCCGGTTGAGAGCAGAGCTATCAAGACATCTTGGAGCCTCCTTTGTTCCTGAGAAAGTGTTTGCTTACCTTCACCCAAGGGCAGGTTCTGGGGGCCCCATTTCCCTGCACTGCACGCACTGGGACCAGGCAGAACGCTGATCTGATCACAGCCAAAACTGTGAGTGGGTTTCCATAGCTAGGAAACTAAGAGACTGGTGCCTGTCCAGGAGTAGCCTCAGAGAGAGCTCTCCGTCCTCCTGTCCAAGGATAAGGAGGAATTTTTGTTGAAGGACACGCCCTTCAGGGAGTCCTCTTGGTTTAATGATGACCAATAAAGCAAGATTTAAAATGTCAATGAAAAATTTTATTATTTGAGAGGCAAAGAGACAGAAAGACAGACAGACACACACACACACAGAGAGAATTTCACCAGTGTCTGTAAAGGCCCTGGCTGGTCTAGGGCTGGAGTCAGGAGTTGGGAGTATAATCCAGCTCCACCAGGTTGGTGGTAGAAACCTGATTCCTTGAGCCATCCCTGCTGCCTCCCATGGTTTGCGCTGGCAGGAAGCTGGAGTCAGGAACCAGGGGCTGACCCAGGCATTCTGATGTGGGTTGTGGTCATCCTAACTATTAAATGCTGATTCCAGGAGGGTGGTCTTTAGGTGAGACAAGGGACGGCTCAGATGAGTGACTGTAGATGAACAAGTTTCATGGACACAATGCTTTTCTTTCTATTGAATGGAGACAGGAGAGTGAAAAGGAAACTCCACATGTATTGGAAAGACAGGGGGGTTTGTACACAGTCCTGGGTTCGAGTGTCGGCTCTGCCACATACCAGCCGGGGGACTTCTGACATTGCCCAGCAAATACCTTCAAATACCATTGAGCTACAATAGTCTCCATTTCTGCAAAGTGGTTCTGAGGTTGAACATGAGACCCATGGGAAGTCCAGAGTCCTTTATTTAAGTCTCCTCTGTTATTTTACTTAATAAATTTTTTTTTTTTGGCTTACTATTCACATTAGTTTATTGGCCCACCTCACCCGCCATGGCAGGCCAGCCCTCTGAGCGCAGGCAGTGTCCATGTGGCTGCGCTCTGCCGGGGAGGGAACACTGGCCAGGGCGGCCCTCAACCCCAGACGTCCTGAGCGGAGCCCAGCTCAGCTCCACTTGATGCTCTTGTCCTCCTCGGTCATGGCGGGCGTGTCTGTGAGGAGGCCTGTGCCGATGGTGCAGTTGCCGTCCCGCAGGGTGAAACGCTGGCCTTTCTCTACGATCATTGGCTGTCGCAGGATTAGGCTGAGCTTCAGGTCCTCCCCGGGCATGGCCAGCTCCTTCCCTGGGGGCAGGAGCACCCGGCAGGCCATGTCCCAGGTCAGGGAGAACATGACGGGCATGAAGTGGGACACGAAGGGTTTGTGGCGGCCGCCCTCCTCCTTGCTGAGGATGTAAACCTGCGCCTCCACCTTCTGGTGGGGCTGGATGGAGCCCGGCTTGGCCATGACCAAGCCGCGCCTCAGGTCCTCCCGCTTCAAGCCTCGGACCAGGGCCCCCAGGTTGTCCCCGGCCTCGGCCCTCTCCAGGCTCTTGTGGGACATCTCAATGCCTGTCACCACCGTGCGGATGTTCTTGCTGTGGCCGAGGAACTCGCACTGGTCTCCCTTCTTCAAGATGCCGCGCTCTAGCGTCCCTGTCACCACTGTGCCCCGGCCCGGGATCGAGTAGACAGACTCGACGGGCAGCAGGAAAGGCTTCTCCAGGTCGCGGGTGGGCACCGGGATGTAGGTGTCCACGGCGTCCAGCAGCTTCTGCACCGACTTCACGCCGAGCTCGGTGTCCCATTGCTCCAGGGCACAGATGGCAGAGCCCACGATGACAGGGGCCTCCTCCCCTTTGTAGCCTAACTCACACGGGACATTATAACAAAAGCATTCTCTACTCTAAGGACAGGCCTCATGGAGGCACGCACAGGGCCCCTATAGCACGTGTGTGTCAGTCAGTACATAGACAGGTACTGCAAAAAACCACAGACAGTAGGGTCTGGTGGGGATGGCAGGAGTGGAGGGAAAAGGGAAGAGATTTTTCTCACCTTCCCTGTGTGATAACGGAACTATGATGGGATGTTTTAGAGAGAGACTTGACCCACATCCTACTAGAGCAACATTTTAAAAGATGAGGAGAAGATTGCACCTTCTGCTGCCACTCAGAAGGTTAACCTGACCTGGTGACAAGCAGTTCTGTGAATCAAATTAAGCAAATTGTTCTTCCTCTTCCTTCTCAAGAAGTTGAAATTGCCAGGGCCGGAGACTTGGGGCAAGCAGAGTGGCTGTGTTCAGTTAGTGAATTCTGACCACTGCTGAGCTCAACCCCTGTGCAAAGAATTTTAATTCATTCGTTTGTCATTCCACAGATGTTAATGGAGGTTCTGTCCCCGGGTAGGCCCTCTTCTGGATGCCAAGAATAACAAGCTAGAGAGATAATCCCATCCTACAACAGCTTGCACTGCACTGGGGGAGATGGACATGGGACAAACCCACATGAAGATGCCATCCATCAGTCTTCTGCCAAGAGGTGTAACAGGATATAGGGGTGAGGGGAGGCGGGGTGGGCCTAGGAGCAGGGGAAGAAGAGTGAGCTAAAATAGGATAGTTGAGCAAAGACTTGAATACAGTAAGGGGGTGAGCTATTATCAGAGCAGGAGCCTTGGTGTGGGAACAAGCATAACCAGAGGTTTCCATATTTGGGGTGTCACAAGGAGACCCAGTAAAAGGGCCATCCAGTTTCACACGTCAGCCTGCATGACACAGAAATCTTCCTTCTGATTGCACTGGACAGGGGGAGGCAGGTCGTGGAGGGCTATGCTGGGCCTGACAGGAACTATGAATATTTTTGGATTGACAATGAGAAGCCATTGGAGGATTTTGAGGGACAGATGATGTAAGAGCTACATTTTAAAAATGGCCATTCTGGCTGGTTTGAGAGAAGAGAGACTGGAGTAGGGGCGTAGGATGTTAAACCCTGAACCTAAATGGACAGTGCTTACAGTCTTCCAAGAGAGTGATGAACCTAGTCTGGGTTATAGTGACAGTGAAGGAGGTGGGAGAATTGGTTGGATTCTTGCTGTATATGGAAGGTGGAGCCAGCAGGGTTTCTGTTGCTTTGGATGTGGGCTGTGAGAGGAGTTAAGGATGGCATTCCTGAAAAACTCCAGGCAGATGCGTGTCACCACCATTACAGCACTGTTAGTGATGATTTCCTGTGAGGTTTAACTGCATTTTCTGATTTGATCCTCACCTCTGCCCTCTGTGTTAAGAACTGCTGTCCCCATTGGCCAGCTGAAGAAACGGAAGCTCAGGAAGCCAGTGCTGTGGTACAGTGGGTTAAAGCCCCGGCCTGCAGTGTCGGCATCCTATATGGGTGCTGGTTCTAGTCCCGGCTACTCCACTTCCAATCCAGCTCTCTGCTACGGCCTGGGAAAGCAGTAGAAGATGGCCCAAGTCCTTGGGACCTGGCACTCCTTGAGTGGGAGACCCTGAAGAATCTCCTGGCTCCTGGCTTTGGATCGGCGCAGCTCCGGCCGTTGTGGCCATCTGGGGAGTGAAGCAGTGAATGGAAGACCTCTCTCTCTCTCTGTCTCTACCTCTCTCTGTAACTCTGTCTTTCAAATAGATAAAATAAATTAAAAAAAAAAAAGAAACTCAAACTGAGACAGAGCTGTAACTTGCTCAAGATCTCAAAGCTGCCTCTCACAGGAACCATGGTTTGATTATCTGAACTCATTTTTTAAATTGATGTTGGGAGATTACCTTTCTCTTTTACTTCAAAATGTTTATATGTATTTTCACCTACTTAAAAGGCAGAGAAAGGGAGGGAGGGAGAGAGAGAAGGAGAGGGAGGGGGAGAGGGAAAAGGGGAGAGAGAGAGAGGGAGAAAGAGAGAGAATATTTTCCAACTACTGTCTCACCCCTCAAACGTCTGCAATAGCCAGGTTTGGGTCTGAAGCCTGAAACCTGGATCTCCATCCTGGTCTCCCACATGGGTGGCAGGGACTTCAGGACTTGAGCTGTCGTCCGCTGCCTTCCAGGATATATTAGCAGGAATGCTGGGTAGGAAGCAAGGTAGCCAGGACTCACAACGCCACCTTGATAATGGAACACAGACGTCCCAAGCGGCAGCTTAACCCGCTGCACCGCAATGCGCAGCCCTGATTCTCTGCAATCTTGTTCTTGGGATGTGTCCTGCTGGTGGTCATCACCGCGAGGGCTTCTGTGACAGCAGGATGAGGACGTGGTCACCGGGAGTTCTTGGAGGAAGGAGTCTGGGAGCCGTGGGAGCAAGGGAAGAAGCAGCAACAGCGGGGAAGGTGCTTTGAGGTCAAAGGGCTCCCTGTAGTCCTGGTTGCTCAGCTCCTTTCAATCGGTGGTGGGAAACAGCTCGCTGCGTGCGGCAGCCTGTGGGGCCACCCAAAACAGGTGGTGGCTGCTGCACTCCCCACAGGGCGAGGCCGAGAGCCACTCCCAATGTGCTGCTTTTAGGGAGCTGACTCAGGTTACCGCAAGCCATCCTTCCTGGAAGGGTCGGCTCCTCCCACGGCCTCCTTTCCTTTCCCTCAAACCTTCTTTCTTCCCAAATGCGGGGCAGACGGCTTCCCACCCAGTGGCTCCAATGAGGAGGCAGTTTCTGCCTCTCCAGGACAGATCCAGGGACCTTTCTTGTGCCTACCCGACCTCCCGGCAGCCTTTGCAAGCGGCACCTCCTCCCTCTTTCTTGTCACCTCCTCTTTTCTCTGTGTCGCTTCCCTCTTCTGCTTCTTTCCCCACATCGCTGTCTCCCCATTCTTTTCTGCCTTGGAGTTTCTCCCTGTGGCTCACAGGTGCACCCCGGGTCTTCTGACGGGTCCCTGCCCCCACTGCCCACCCTTCCCTTGGCCCCTCGGCCCCTCGGCCTTTTCTTCTCCACCAGCTCTACCTCCTGATCTCACCAGCTCCGGGTTTGTACTTCAGACTTTTTAAGAAGTTTTATTTATTTGAAAGGTGGTGTGACAGAGAGAGAGAGAGAAAGAGAGAGAGAGAGAGAGAGAGAGAGAGAGAGAGAAAATATCTTCCATCCATTAGTTCACTTCCCAAATGCCTGCAACAGCCCTAGCTTGGCCAGGCTGAAACCAGGAGCCAGGAACTCCTTTTGGGTCTTTGGCAGGGGTTGCAGGGACTAAAGTACTCGGACTATCATCTGATACAGCACAGGGATGGGCATTTGCAGGAATCTGGATTGGAAGTGGGATGGGCCTTGAGCCTAGGTATTCCTATAGGGATTGTAGGTGTCCCAAGCAACAGTTTAGCCTGTTGAGTGACAACATCTGCCCCCACTTCCTACCCTAAAGCTGTCCCCAGTCATCGTCTCCAGCTTAGATCTCCTGCATCCCCTCATCTCCATTTTCCACCTGCTCCTCCAGCCTCCCAGGTGGAGATCTCCAGTCAATGGAGAGGAGTCCTGTGTGCCTGAGCTGAGGATAACAGGACCAGAAAGGATAGGTTGAGCTAACAAAGCCATGCTAACAAAACTTCATGCATCTTGATTTCAGAATTGAACACAGGTTTCTAGGCCCAGAGAAATGTCATGGTTGGAAGGCTCTGGCAGGTGGGAGGACTGGGATTTCCGAGTCCCTGAGAGAGGGGGAACAAGCTTCGGAATGGCTATCTGCATGCAGCAAACTCCTGCGCGGTGGATAGAACTTGAGCGCGAATGGGAAGGAAACGAGAGGCAAAGCTTCACGCGGGTGGCATGGCAGACTGACAAGCTTGTGCCGTCTCTGCCCGGGGTAAGCTATGTGTCTGCCTCCGTTTGTTCTTTCTAGCCTGGTGCTAATTTCTATGCTTCTATGAATGACGCAAAATGTTGTCCTGTGTGAGACCAGATAGACGCATTCATGCCTGACTCTAACCAGCGGGACTTTCCATGGCTTCTGATGGCCTCTGCTTGCCAGTTTGTTTGCAGGTCAGCCCAGTGCCTTGTAGTCCACATCACACTCAGACTGCGTGCTTATGTTTGATCCTCATGGTCGAGCCATCAGGTGGATAGCACAGCTGCCATTTCGCAGCTGAAAAAGTGAAGGTTGTAGAGAAGTGGTGTGCCCAGACGTGGGCAGCTATCAGTAGCATTGTCAGGCCTTGCGTCCATACTTTGGTTCCATCTGGCCACGGTAACTGGCTGGTTATACCTGCCAGGCAATGGTAACCCTCTGGCCATACCTGTTGGGCTATGGCAATTGTCTGGTTATACCCATCAAGATGTCTGAGAGTTTTAGCACCAAAGACACGGGTGCTTTGTAGAGGACGTGAGTTGTTTTTTTACCTGCTTAGTTGACAAATCCTTTTTTTTTTTTATATATTTATCTCTCTTAGTAAAGATAATGTTAGCTGTTGTAACAAGCAAATGTTTCAAAATGTATAATGTTTCAACCGTGAGAGACTATCCACAATGGATTCTTTCTGGTCAGCTTCCCTCCAAATAGCAGAGTTAGGGACCCAGGCTCCTTCCATGTGTGCTTCTGCCATATTCTATGTTGCCAAACACGCCCGAGAGGTTCTGCTGGGCCTAGAGCAATACACATGTCTTTTTCGTATGCATTGTTTGCTAGAGCAGTCATACATCCACACTCATCCTAAGAGTGTGGGAATTTTCAGAGGTGTATCTAGGAGTAAATGGGGAACGCAGATTTGGGGCAGAGTGAGCTGGTCACTGGGGTCGCGCTGATGAATTGCCGCTGGCTCAGCCCACCAGACCCCAGTGGGCTGCCTGCCTCCTGCTCCTGTCCCTTCCAGCCAAGGCCCACAGCGAGGCCACACTGGGCCCATCAGCTTATTTCATTGTCACAGTCCCATTTTCTGCTGCTGTCACGGAACAACACAGACTGGATAATTTATGATTAGTAGACCCTCAC